CAATCCCCCGGCAGTCCTGCATGTCTGATAACTCTAATCTTCTCATTTGTTGTTTTCTGTCACTAAAATATAAACTCTGTAAGAAATGGGATCAGTTTTGTTTCCTGCTGTTGCCCCAGCACCTAGAACAGGGCCTGGCATAAAGGAGGAGCTCATTAAACATTTATTGATGAGCAACTTTTTGAAACATAAGGCACAAAAGGCACAAAGAATAAATAGTAAGGATGGCAAGAGAGGGAAGAGACCGACATACACTGAAGGTGTAGAAGGAAGATTCCTGGAAAGTACAAGTAACTGACATGGGTCTTAATGGGCGCGCAGGACAAATGGGACATATCGTCTATGCTATGACACAGCATCGACCAAACCAGGAAGGAGCATGCCAGGTGTGACATCCATTGTACGTTGTCCAGGGGTTAGAGATCAGACCTGATCATCAGGGGAAAGCCATCACACTGTCTGTAGGAAGTGACTAACAGAGAAAATGGTATTTCAGGAACTTTATTATTTCAGGAATATACTCAGTTGATTGGGAAGGGGAATCAGAAAAGCAGGGAGAGAGCTGAGACATATTGCCTTAGAGTAGAATGACAATAAGGAAATGGCAAATACAAAAATAACTGTAAAAAAAGATTATATCACGGCATCTTTAGAAACACTTCTTGCTGCTCATTGGTATTTCTGATTCTCCTCCGAAGCACATAGTAGGGCTCCATTCCCCCACACAGCTTGCTTTCTGGTCCATGAACTACGAGGCCATGTGATGAGTGTCACTTCAGAATGGAAGTCTTTCAGCAGGGGTGACTCCCTACCTCCCCTCTCCCTTCACGCTGCTTAGAAACGTTACAGACAGTGAAGGCCTCAGCAGCCTGAGCCTTAAAATGGACAAGAAGCAATCCTTTGTTGTTTTCAGCCACAAGGATTTTGGACTGTTTGTGTCACCCATTCTGACGGTGGCAGTTTGAATCTGTGTGGACACGTTTTTATGTCCCCCTCTGTAACTTGCTTCTACAGAGCGGCAGTGACTTCTCAGGCCAGGTCATCAGCAGCACTGGGGCTTCCTCTCTTGGATCACTTCGGGGAGGCCAGCGGTCACAGCACGAGGACACTCAAAGCAGCCCAATGGAGATCCACGTGCTCGGGAATGGAGGCCTCCTGCCCACAGTCAGCATTAACGTTCCACGCTGAGGGTGAGCCAGCCTGGAGGAGGACCGCGCAGCCCCGTCAACATCCTGGCTGCGACCTCGTGAGATGCACTGAGGCCCCAAGCTGCTCCTAGATTCCTACTCCTCAAAAAGCATGCGAGGTGATGAATCTTTAGTGTTTCAACCCACTCCGCTTTAGGCTAATGGATACACAGCAACAGATACTAACACACTAACACAGAAATACACGAAGAATTGGAAATGGAGACAAGGGAGAAAGCACTGCTAACTCCTAGGCTTTGGGCTCTAAATTATTTGGAAAAATTGTGATCTCACTGACTGTAAGTTACTCAATTCCACTGCAACTTTGAGGCAAAGGCCATGTCTGCTCAATAAACACTTGCTGGAGTCTTGTAAATGTTTAACAACTGAACAGTGTTCAGAATTAAAAAGAATACTCAAGGACAGATAGGGGAGAACTCTCCATCCTCTTCCAGACTCGATGCTTCCATCACAGCTTTCTCAGCAGTAGTGCACACCAACTGCAACTAAGGATGTTAAGATGCAAGAGCCCACAGGCCGTTTTCTGACTATATTTTCTCCCACTCACCTCAACGTTCATATGAGATGTGCAGTTATGTTAGTTTTATTTTGCTGATGATTACTATAGTTTCTACACTTTCTATACTGAAAGCACAAAAGGAAATAAGAGTAGGGAAAAGTAGCATAGTTGAAGAATACGTATTGTATAACAAACCGTTTCAGTTCATGTATCAAATGCAGAATTAAAATACTGTCCTTGGGCCGGCTGAGTGGCTCAGTTGGTTAAGCGCTCGCACAAGAGTGTGAGCTCTGAGCAACAGAGTTTGATTCCTGGCCCAAGCCGAGCTGTTGCTGAGCTGCCAACAGGTGGCAGGATGGCTCAGCTAAAAAAAAAAAATACTGTCCAGCCATCATTTTATCAGTTCTAACAGCTTCACCTTGCATTCTGCATCCAAAATCCTCAGGCCAACATTTATTTACAATCAATTTTAAATTCTTGTATTACCACATTATCTCTCCTGAGTATTCTAAGTCTCAAAGATTTGGCTTAACAGTGTCTAAATTCATTAGGCTGGATCTCAAATCCCCATAAATTTATTGCCATCTTAGCCACAAATTTCATATTAACAGATTGAAACCATCACTAAAACACCACTTGGTCTTAAAACAAAAATATAATAAACTGCAAAATTATGATTGCTTTTTTTATTAAATTTTATTTTTAAATAATTTTAGACATACAGAAAACTTGAAAAGCAAGCTCACAGAGAATAATTGGTGGTTGGTGGGGGTGGGGGGGGGAGCCTGTGGTGGAGAAATGGTTGAAGGTGGTCAAAAGATACAAACTTCCAGTTAGAAAATAAGTCCTGTGGATGTAATGTATAGCACGCTGACTATAGTTAATAACACTGTATTGCATAATTGAAAGTTGCTAAAAGAGTAAATCTTAAAACTTCTCCTACAAGAAAAAAAAGGTAAATATGAAAGGGGAACTGAGGTTAACCATTTATTGTGGTGATCATTTCACAGTATATAAAATATTGAATCATTATGTTGTATACTTGAAACTAATATCATTGTCAATTATACATCAATTTAAAAAAAAGAAGTATATAGAAAATAGATGGGAAGACATTTGAGATGGAGAAAAAGAGCATAAACAAAGTATGGGGGCTCCCGGCCACTCTCCCTCATTGACTGGTGTTTTAATCCCTTACCCCAGTGGAAACATTCATTTAAAATTTTTCAGTAAGTCTTTACAGCTTAGCATAAATTGATGGTGTCATGGGCTGGATTTGTCCCCCCAAGTTCATTTGTTGAAGCTCTAACCCCCCCGTGCCTCAGAATATGGCTGTATTTAGGAACAAGGTCTTTAAAGAACGAATTCAGGCGATATGAGGTTATTAGGATAGGCCCTAATCCAGTGAGGGGTGCGGGTGGGGGAGACGGTGGAGGGATTAGAAAGTACCAATCAGTAGTCACAATATATCGGGTTGTCGGAAAAGTCATGACGCATTTTTGCAATGAAAAACATAGAAAAAATATGCCATGACTTTTCCGACAACCCAATAGTCACGGGGAGGTGAAATACGGTGCGGGGAACATAACCAGTAATGTTGTCAAGATCGTGTAGGGTGCCAGATGGGCACTGGACTTACCGGGGGGGGGGCCACGTCCTGGACGGCGTAGATGCCTGAGCACTGCGCGGCACACCTGGAGCGGAACAATACTGAGTGCCAGCTGTAATTAAATATATACGTATATACAGTCACAGGATGTGGAGCACAGCACAGGGAAGAGAGTCATCGGTAGGTAACCGCTCTACACGACGTCAGAGGGGCGGCAGACTGGGGAGCGGGGCTATCACTTTGTAAGGGGTGCAAATGTCTATTACACTGTTTTGTACCTGAAACCAATGGACAAATGGGAGAGCCGAGGCTACAGACAGGTGCAGAGCGAAGACGCGGTGCGCAGACAGGGGGAGGGGGGCCCCTACAGGACGACGCGGGGTCCCGGGCACGCCTTGGTCACCCTCCGGAATCCACAGCCGCGGGAACACACTCCCGCTGTCAGCCGCGCGGCCTGCGCGATGCTGCTCCGGCGGCCCCGGCAAGAGAACGCGGGGCTGGAGGTTCGGAATGCACGCTAGTTGGGTGAAACCCCAAAAAAAACCCAAAAAGTGACTTGGTCCTGACGCCTCGTTACGGAGCAGTCGTTCGCTGCGATGGAGGAAGGAGAGGCCAGGTGAGCCCAGAAACGGCTGCGCTCTTCCCACAAACGTGCCCATTCACACCCCGAGCGGGGCAGCAAGTCGTGCTCTTCCTCGTTGAACTCTTGCCCGCAGAAGTCGGCCGGGGCGCCCGGAGCCCCCGTGCCTCCCACCGCCGCGCCGCGCCGCGCCCACCACACCGCACCCTCGTCCCTGACAGCAGCGCCCCGAGGTCGTCTACCGAGGAGAGGCTGCATTCGCCGGCAGCCTCCCTTTTGTCTCACACACGAGGGAAACGGGAAAACCGACAGGGAGGCAGGGACATTTAATCCCCGCACGCCGAGGACTGCGCGTGACCCCGCCTCACAGGCGGGAGCGCCACAGTTCCCGTCACCGCGCCGTCCGAGCCCCGGGGAGCGGGACGCGCTCCGCCTTCCGGAGCCCGCGGAGCCCGGCGCGGCCGGGGCGGGCACCACGTGTGGGGCAGCTGGCGCCGCGGGACACGCTCGGGCGCCCGAGAGGGGCCTCCCTCCGCTCCCCGGCCTGACGCCGTTTCTGTCCTTGTCTTGCAAAATCGTTGGCGAGACTTTCAGTAACGAGAGCAAACACTCCCGAGAGATCAGACCCCAGACGAGCACAAAACACAGCTGCCTGCGGACCCCCGACGCCGGCGCTGCAGGGACAGCGACGCCAGGGCAGACGGAGCCGCGGAGAGCTCGCCAGCAGAGCCAGAAACTCGCCGAGGTCCACAGAAAGGGAAGGTGAGGGAACGGGGGGCTATCGAACCTGGCGTCTCCGCAAACACTGTGGCGTCTAAAGTAACTGTCCTGAGGGAAACGGGCCGCGAAACCATCTCGTCCCCCACTCCAGTCAGCCGGCGCCTTCTGCTCTCGCGAGAACTTTTTGGCTCCCGGCATGCGCCTCGTCCTAACCCGCGGCCAGGTGAGCGGCCGAGGCCGGGAGGATGCAGGGTGTGGCCAACGGAGGGGGTGGAGCCGTGGCGGGACTGGGCGGGGCCGGGCGGAGGGAGCGGTCGCGGAGACCCCGCCCCTCGCGGGGCTTCCCGGAATAGCGTCATCAGCTGTATAAGAGCGCGTGCGCAGACGCGCTCGGCCTTTTCCGTCCGGGAAGTGTGGCGTGCGCGTCGTTCCTGTGCGGTCGTGTTTTGTGCACTAGAATGCTGACTGGGACAGGGCTTTTTGGCTTAGTTACGATGCAGGCGGTTCAGGAGTCTTGTAGCGATAGCGCGAGGCCGGCCTCGAAAGCCTGCAGGCTGGGAAGCCTGCGCGGACGCGGGGGTGCTGTAGGTCGCGCGGCGGCCACGTGCAGCCCTGGGCGCTGAGTCCCAGGCCGCGCGCCGTGGGCCCTGGCCCCGCAGGCACAGGCTCAGCGCACCTGACGACCCCGGGAAGGTCAGTAAGCGCTGCCGGCGCCATGTGGCCGTGGCGAACCCACGCCGCTAGTCAGTGGTGACACCGCACGCGGACGCCGCCAATGTGACCCACGCGGTGAGTACGGCTGCACGTGCGCGTGCCGATCAGCCTGGCGCTGTGATGTCCATGTATCTTTGGGACCTGTCAACTGTGGCAGCCTCCCTTCCTAGCCATGGAAGAGCATGTTCTTGTTTATTGGCAAAGCTGTCACCATTTAATTGGTATCAGATTCTGACTTGCACAAGTAACATTGTAAGCTTTGAGAAATCTGGAGGGTGCTGGGTGGTTGGGCAAAGGTCTAATTTTTCAAATGTTTCTAGGAAGCGGCGCTAACTGTTCCGATGGGTGATGGCACATATAATACGGGTACGTTCCTTTGTATTCCTATTTCGCAGTTAATCTTAGTGCTCAGGAATTGGAAGGCCAACGTTGGCCCGTTTTGCTGGCATTTTGTAATTCGAGAGAAGAAACAGCCATCTGAATAGGAAGTGACTGAAACGGCTGCTAAGATGGCAGCTCTGTAAGCACAGACCACAGATCTCTAAAGCTGTTCTTCTCTTGCAGGAATCAGGAAATGCAGAATGAAATGGAAACGGGTGACGTCTTAGCATCTGCTGTGCACTGAACAAACGTGATTTTAAATTTCAGCAGATCCAGGATTGAGTGGCAAATGATGTTCTGGAAAGTAGCCGGGCATTATTTTCAATATAGGTCTGAATGTCTTTTGGTTTTTTTTTTAAACGATATTTAAGAGAATGAGTGCTTACTTGTTAAATAAAATGCTTGATTCATCTGAATAATCATTCCTTGACTGATTACTAAGTGGGAGGGTAGTTACAAATAATAGTGAAGGGACTGCCTCCTGTTCTGTATTAGAGAGCATGTGGAAGTGTTATGAGTGAGTACTGTAAATGTCACAGCATTTGGGGAAAACAAAAACCGGGTCACCCCTAAGAGAGACACGACACAAAAGATTAAGGCAGCTATTAAGGCTATGCGCTTTATTTACACATCTTATAAAAGTCACACGTTTAACAAATTAGGTAGAATAAAGGCATATTTTGTGAAGCAAATACTTCAAGTATGCCACCTGTTGACTGTCGTAAGTTTGTCAACCTGGGTGAGTTCAAATTTGAATATAAGTGTTACTTGTACTGGCTTTGTAGTTTAATTATAAGGGCAGCCTGTTTTTAAACTGTATTGCATGTTTTTCTCAAGCCCTTGAGCAAGTGTGCACTGTAGTTATATCATTTCTAGATGTAAATGCTTGAAAAGTTCCCTTTATCAAAATCATGAGCTTTTAGAAAAGTTTTAATGTTATTCTACCTGACTTGGCAATGCATTTCTGCAGAGTTGTAAACTAGAAAGCAAAGCACCGTTGGTTAGCACCAGTTTTTTACAAAGAGGACACAATTTGGTGCAGAAGGGAAAGGAGTAAAGTCCCTCCTTGAAAGTATTATCTAACCCTAAAATTCTTGCTGACCTATTCACCTGTTTCCATGCATCTATGCCTTGGCTATGTGAGAATTGTTTAAACCACCCAGGATTTGGGGCAGGACTCATCAAGCATTGTCACATCTGAACAGGATTACTTGGGTATCCTGAGGGGCACACCTTTCTGTGTGGGCAAAGATTTCACTCTGCCACCAAGAATATCCCATGAGGGTCCGTGGTAGGCAGCTATTCCTTACCCTTTTGGCAACACTTATTTGAGAGCATTTACCCACTGTGTGGACAGGGCAAACATTTTTAATAGTGTATTTTTATCAGATGAGACTGCTGGGCTAGGCTTAGGAATCGATAGGTTTAAATAAATTACTGTGAAGTTGCAATAGATGGCACTCTAATGTCATGGTCCAGAAAATAGCATGATGCTACGGAACAAGCAAAAAGCAAAACTTTTTGACCAAGTTTTAAATCAAGTGGTTACAAGTAACCAGAGAAATATCAACAAAAGGGTGGATAAATTAGGTTGTGCATCCAACAACTGGAAGGGGTTATTTGTTGTGTTTTCAGGAATCCTTTCAGATTTTGCTAGTAACATACACGGTAGACTGCTCTTCTCGTGACTGCTGTAGTGCTTGGTGCAGAGGCTTCGTTCAGGAATGTATTCTGACTGGTCCTATCCCAGTCCAGGTTTGTAGGATTCCGTTACCTCTTTGGCCCATGATTTTCTCACCTGACAAAGGCTACAGAGATTTGATGCGTGAAGATTTCTTGTCAGCCTTTGGGAAAACAATCTGAGCTGAAAATTAGGTAAACAGAAAACAGTGCCTATTTTGAGTGTAGTAATGGGTATTTTTTATGTCAAATATGGGCACTCAATATGAATTCATATATTCACTGATTCAATTATAAGGAGTTCTCAATCCCAATGTAAAAAAGCCTTTTTGCACGATCAATATATACAGTCTCCAGAGAATGCTGAGAAATAGGCAGAAGGGAGAAGGTTCAATGAGAAGAAAGAATGGAGTCTGGGGAGGCAATGATGCTCACAGGATAATCAGGACCACACTGAGGTATCTACCACAAATGTCACATCACAAATTCTCACCACATCAGACGGGCGTAGTACTCCATTTGTATCACAACATAAAGCACAAACATGGACCTCGGGCCCCATTAGCTGGCATCTCTGGCTGAGGACTAATGTGAAGGTTGAAAGTTTTCCAACAGATTCTTTAAGTACTATTTTCTTGAGGTTTCCATGAGTTACAGTTTGGTGACGCTTTTTATCCAAGGTACAAAGGCTGACACTTTGGTGTAAACACCAGGTGAATCCTTGACTCCACAGCCATAGCCCCAGGAGGTCACCCCATACACAACCCAGCTGGCTCCCGGCCGCTCACACATGAGGGGTCCTCCGCTGTCTCCCTGGCAGCTGTCCACACGTCTGAGTTCACGGAGATTTCCAGCGCAGAGCATCCTTCCTGTAAACCGACCCTTATAGCGTTCTTCACAAAACCGCTTGGGAAGTAAGGGGATGGCTGCTTGTTGCAGAGTTCTGGAATAGGCTCGTCCTACTCAAACCAAATAATCAGAATTAGCTTCCAAGGAAAGAGCTCAGAAAAGAGCTACATGGAACAGTTCAATGGCCATTTAAAGTAAAACTATTGTGCCACCAGTGCAGTATAAATGAGTGGGTGCTAAGTATAAATGGTATATAATATCATTACCAGCCTGTTTTTTAAGGCTTGCACTCACCACACTTAACCCTTCACCAGTCTGTTTCTCAGTACTGACTTTTTAAAGGAATGACTAAGGAACCTTTATGGATTGGCTGCAGAGGACAGTAACCTAAAGAAAGCACGTGTGCAGGCTTTAGTGTTTGAATTGGGTGCTGAACAGCTGAAGGTGCACTCCTGCTGGGTTGGTGGCAGCGTGTCCACCCTAACATCTATTTCACCGGCTTGAGGATGAATGATAAATGGCAGTTCCATGTGAGCCTGTCAGGTGACAGTAACCATCCTAAGTAGGAGCAATATTCTCAGAGACGACTCGGAAGCAGCAGTGCCACGTACGTACACACGGCCTTCGGTTCAGCCGCTTGCTGTTGGTGTGCTCTGCTGGTACGCCTCTCCTTTGCCGAGTGGCTAAAACGTGTGATCGCTGTGCCCTCCGTGACAACCTTTCCTGGGATCTCAATTCCTGATCCTATTATTCTCTGGCCGTATTTACTCAGCTGGAATAATTCATCCCTAATAAAACACATTCTGTAAAAACTTGCTTTGTCATTTCTAGTAATTCAGATGTGGTGTCTCAAGGAAGGTGAGGAACCTTCCCTGATGAAGCGATCTCACATGGACTCGTTTTCTCAGACCTGACTGCCTCCTGCATGAATGAGCACAGTGTACTCAGACCTGATTCATTACATCGTCCAGGAAATGCTTCCTTATTTCATGGTTTATCTCAGGATTGGTCCCAGTGCTTTTTCAGTATGTTCTACATTTCATTGCTGGGAATGAAGTAAGTGTAAAGCCCAGATTTAATGTGGCATGGGATAAAATGAACACTGAAATACTTACATTTATGAATAAACCTTATTGAAATCATCCCTGTAGAAATACTCACTTGATGCTCTTTTCAAGAGTACAGTTATCAGCATTAATTTTTATTATGGAGAGCAGTCAGCCTACATTTCCCCTTATTCAACAGTCATTTGTGAGGCGAGCGCCTAACCCAGTGAACCCTGGACCCGTTACTCCTAGGACCATCCTGAGCAAGCACTGGGTGATGTAACCGATTTAACTCTGCGACAGTCCAGAGAGCTGTTCGCCTGCGAAGGGCAGCTGACATGGTCCTCTTGCTTGGGGACCCAGAGGCGGGAGGAATGGAGTGGGGCTGAAGGAAGAACGCAAGTGGTGGGGTCCCTCCACTTCCACCTCAGCAGCTTTGCCTTCGTTTGTTCTATTGCAATATATTTAGGAATTCTCCATCAGATCTAGTTGGATAAGGGGCTCCATTACCAAGAAACAAACGGCCAAACACCAAAGCCCTCTGCTGGGGTAGCTTCATCAAACTCATCTGGGAAAGCTTTTTGGAATACGGGGTAAGGTATTTTTTTTTTGTCTCCTCGCTGGTCGGGAAACTAAGTCAGGAGAGGAATCCTTACCTCTTGAACTCCAAGTCCGCCTGTCCTAAAGTTCTAATGGGAACCAACAGTACCCTCAGGACGCGACTCCAAACTACATGCATCTCTCATTTGGCAGAATTTCCAAACCACGTGGCCTGAATCCGTCAAGACGCTACAGCCCACTGTATCCCCAAGTGCACGGCTAACCCCAGACCCCAGAAGGCACCAAGCTCCTCCTCTGCTCGTTTGTGTCACCTCCATTACCTGTGTCTCCCCAGCCTGTGATGTGACAATTGGAGGCTGTCTTCTGTGGCCTCTCTCTCCAGGCTGGCAGACAGGCTGGCAGAACGTGGCTGCTGAACCTGGCACACTGCCCGTCCGGCCCCTGCAGTCTGACCAGGGCGATGTCGTAGTCGCTGCTGTCCGGCCGGTACGCCCGATGGAGGACGATCTGTTGAACTCCGACTTCCTCCTCAAACTCCTCGGGCACCAGAGTATGGTAGTCCCCAACCCGGACAGCGTAGCTCCGCGTGCTGTTCCCGTACCTGGGAGGCACACAGCCCGTCAGGCTAGTCTCCTGCTGAAAGCCTACTCCACTCTCAGCCTTGCTCCCCGGTCCTTAGCCCCTTGGAATCCTCGTGCCTCTCTCCATTTCTCTGCCCCAGGACTCGGTGCTGACTTGAAACTCACTGTCATCCTTCAACCCCACTGTTTTTTGTTTTCATTTCAATCTATGTTAATGACTTCCCTTCTTTCCAGGCGTGGGTTCCACAATTACTCTTTTGCAAAAACTTCCAGTCCTTTCCTTTTATCTGCCCAAAGTCCAGCTCTGGTTTCATCAGCTCACCGCTATTTTGTGCTAGCATCTGGCTGTTGAAAGGGAAAAACTACATTTAACAGCCCTCAGCTTGTTTTTTTCCCAAAACTTCCACTGCATACCAGACCTGAACTTGAATGTGAACTTAGAGAAGCTGGTACTTTCTAGTGCCTGCCAATTGAAAACATCACCTCCCTGTATATGATTCCTGTATATTACTGAAGTTGGAAGTCATTCAGACATTCTGAGAACCCTAATCAGGGCTCTGAGAACTCTGATACGTAAAGTAATTTTCCTAGCTATGTCAGCTCAAAACGCTGAACAATGCAACCCGGACGACTGAGCTCACCCCGCCACGCGCTATCGGTCTATGGTATTAATCGTTCCCTGTAGCTCCTGGATATGCTCCATTTCCAGCCTTAAATCAGCACAGACCGTCAACGTTCCGAAGGCCTTTTACATGCTGTGCCCAGAGACTATCCTCTCACGGGTTCCACTTCAAAAGTGAAGTCAAGTTTAGGATGTTTCCCATCCTAAAACTGTAAAAAGTAATAGTCCTGGATGGTAATCAGATATTTAAGTAATTCTCACTTCTACTTTCAGTATATTGATCTTATTATTGTACTATAAAAACGTAATATGTCTAATTAACGTGTTCAGGTTTTAAAGTCAAACCCCAAGAGATTTATTACTTTTCTAACAAGAATAATAGTGAATGCATCCTTGAAAGTGCTGCTGAAATGTTCCATGTATCTTGGGAATAGGAGCTTTAAAATGATCTCAAGGTCACTGTCCCATGCTGTAGCCAGCAGCCACATGTGGCTATCAGAGCTCTTGAAATGTGGTCAGTCTGCACTGAGATGTGCTGAAAATATGAAGTAGGCTCAGGAGTTTGAATACTTAATATGGAAAAAAATACTAAAGATATTGTCTCTACAGATAACTAATAAAAACAACCTCAATTTTTACATTTTGCAATGATAATATTTTTAATATTCTGAGTTAAAGTATTATTAAAGTTAATCTCACTTGTTTGGGGTTTTTGTGTGTGTGGTTTTTTTTAACGTGGCTCCTAGAAAAGTTAAAGTTATACATACGACTTGTATTTTGTGACTCACACATTTGTACTAGACAGCACTGGTGTGGAGAACTCCGTGGCCTGAAGTAGGCGTCCCATTTTATGACCTATCTTTAACAGTTTCTTTTGTTGCTTATAACTTTTAACTTCACTTACGGTGCATTCCCTTCGCATGTCAACTAGGGACCAGCTACCCAAGCAGGGACTCCTACATCCCTCTCACTCGGATGGTTAGCCTAGATTAATGCTGGGAATTTGAAGAGCATCCCACACAAGGCTGGCTTAGTGCGAAAACCAAATCTCCATCGCCTAGTGTCGCCTCCTAGTGGCTGTGACTACACACTTCAGGGACAACACTGGCTGAGGTTCCCAGTATGACTGTGGACTTTGAAAGCACTTACTATGGTTCTAGGCTTCTCAAGAAAACATATCAAGGATCCTCTTTTGCAATGTATTTTCAGGTCTCTCTAGCTGGGCTTTTGTTATGTTGCTATATTTTACTATATTCAAAAATGTTTCTAAATAAACATTTCAGGTTTGGGCTGACACACCACTCAGTTGTTTGCTTTGCTGAAATGCCTTCGACTCCCCCTCAAATAAAACTTGGATGAAATTCCCAGACAAGCTTGAGCAAGAGAACACAGCAGTTTGGTAAAATCTAACATCCCAATTCCTCTGAGATTCTAGAGTTAAAGTAAACAACTAATTACTAGGATTAAAAATAGCAGAGTTAATTCAGGCTGCAGAGTCATTTTCTTTGTATGTTCTCTACATATTCATCTCTTCAAAAAGACAGTATTTCACAGTGGCCTGTGCAAATCTACTACTACCACAATCCATTTTTCTCTGTCTGGTTGATGGAAGTGGCTTGTGCAAATGGTTCCAGTTGCTTAGTGCTCTTCCCTGTAGAGCCCTGCCTGGCCCCCCGTGGCGTGTGTCCAAAGGTGCTGCCATATACTAGGTCATGACGGAACAGATGTCTTTTACAAGGGAGTCCCATGACCTCTGTGGCTCCTCTCCCCAATTACAAAGGTCTAGGCTTTTCTGATTTGCAGAGTGACAATCTCTGACAATTTCTGTGGTGTTTCTAGGCAAAAAGTGAAAAGACTAAAATCAGGTAAACTATGTTCTTGATCAAATCAAATTTGCAGTAGAATAACAGAAATAAGAGAGTCCTTTTTTGGGGTACGTTCTTTCCTCCCAAAAGGCATTTGTTATCAGAAGAAGCCACGGAAGGAAGTTGGTTTAATATTCAGGAGTTTTTCTCTCAATGACATTGCTACACCAGGGAGAGTGGGTCATTTCAAGGTCCTGTGGTTGTGGTTTACAGTACGAAACAGCAAAAACAAGCATTTCATATTGTGTAATATTCACAGGGCAACTACAAAAAATACTTAATTTATCCAAGTCTCCACCTCAAGCAGCCAACAGGATATCGCATCCCAAAATCTGTGTTGCATTAACACTAGGGAAAATGTGAAACATGAGATAGGCCTTTCAGTGGTGATTCACCAGCTACCTCAGGTCCCCTTGTTTTGTCTGCATGCACGAGGGCTTGGGGCACCTCACACTCTGTGGAAACTAAAAACAAATCAGAGCTGGAGTGCTAGATCTCTGCCAGGCTCCCAGCAAAGCACCCTCATTATGTAAGGAGACCGCCCCACGGGAAGTTAGTGTAACAGCCTGTGATCTGAGCCACTGGCTCTGGTGTCATCTTCCCCAGGCCAGCGTTCCTATATTATTCTGATATGAGGATTATATAAAAGAGTGGCTACTCTACGAAGGCAAGAGAAGTGAACATGAAAAGCTCTCATCCCATTGCATAAAATACCCCAGGTGCCAATAAGAATCTACGCCTTACTGTTCAGAAAGGGCTGCTGAGGCGCACCGGCCTGCACCTTCACTGCAGGAAGGCAGGCCGAGGGATAGGGAACGCTTACACATGTGCAAGTCCAGCAGTTACAGCAGGAGACACACAGAGCAAAGGGGGTGAGAGCTCCTTTCAAATCGCGAAACCAGGCACCCTGCCTGGAGCCTTAAATTAGACTTCCGAGAAATCTAAAGGGAGGGTAACCTCTCAGAACTGCCTCTACACACAAACTCTACTATTCCAGAGGAAATCTATCTACTGGGGCAAATTTCAGAGTTTCTGATGATTAAAGGAGGGTTGTTTTAATCCAAAGTCCCTGAACCCAGAAGAACAAATGCTTGTTTTAATCAGTGGTAAATGTCCTCATGCCTTTTAATAACTTACTGCAGTAAAGATGTGACCTGTGGCCTCCTTGGGTTCTTCCAAACAGGAAGTCGATGAAACCCAGTAAAGGTTACCAACCAAGTCACATGGATGTATAATAGATTTGCAAAACCGTCTCCCCCCTACTCACATTCAAAGAGTCCTGCATTGTATGCAAAGCACATCAGAATGCCACATATCATAATCTGCTCCTGTTTGTTAATCAACTTTATCTCCTGCTGTGCATGTGATGGGAAGAAATCCAGGATGACACATGGAAGAAGTTACTGTTGATCTGGATTTAAATACCACCATCCTCTAATGAGTCCACCATTCCTAAATCCATCCACTATCTGGCAACCGAGCCCAACTTTCATCACGCAGCAGTCATCTAGGCGCATCCACTGAATACACCAGACACTTGATTTACAAACACAAATGAGATGATTGCTGACTTGGAGCAATAATCCAGGAGGAGAAGGCCACGGAGGACTGATGACATGTAAACAGACCAACCCACACATGGCCCTAAACAAAAGACCTTCCAGGGGACCCGAGAGTCAGATCAAAGTTTTCAACCTCAAGCGGAATTTTAAGGCAATTTCCCTACTTTGATACTTTCAGCCTTGAACCCCTAAGTCTATACCTTTCAGCAGAGACTTGAAAGACAAAAAGTCTTGAACAAGAGGAGGGCAATCTGAACTGACCCTACTGGGTCCCTTTGCCTGAACCCCATGCCCCAGGACGGGCTGTCCCTGTTCTCTGCAGGGCACCGCTGTTCTCTTCTCCACCAGCCGGGGGAGTCAAGTCACCCGGATTCTCTACTTTCACTAATAGTAATCTATGACTTCTTTTCTTTGAACCCCAACATCATAATGGCCAACGTTTGCCTTGAATTGTACAGTTTATAAAAGGCTCTCACATACTTTGCAAATCATTTGTCCTTCATGGTGGAATGTTATTGCCTTCATTCTACAGATGGAAAATGGAGGCTCCGAGAGGTTAAACCATTTCCACAAAGTTAAACACCTGACAATGGGAAGGGCTAGAGCTTCGAGCCTGGTCTCTTCATTACAGGGTCCCAAGCTGTCCTGACTTCTGGCCCAGTGTCTCTACCTCTCTCCCTCCTTTTCTTTTCTATCTTTGGTCTGTCTCTATTACAACAGCGTTAAAACCCGTCTCCCTCCACTTCCTTCCATCGTGGGTCTTAACCGCTTGGTAACGTGGGCCAATTTGAGTCACTCCAGAAAAAGGTTTAGAAGCACACATGCGAAGACTTTTCATATAATCTGAAGCTCATGCACCGGTACACCAGTTAAAGACTTCGCTCTACCCCCTCAGATGGAGCCCCCATGTCTCCAAATGACTCAGCTCCTAAGCTGCTCTCTGGTCACATGTCAAGGCTCAGAAGCCTCCAGGGGCTCCCCACTGCTTACTGAATGAGCAGAAATTCATGGCCCCGGCATCCCAGGCCTTTCCTGTTTCTCTCTTGTAAGCCCACAAATCCCACATCCCCTGTCCTGATAACTGCCATCCTTCAAGTTGCCTGATGCTTTCTCCCCGCTGCACTATCAACATTAAATGTCACCTACCCCCCCCACCTCTGCTTATACACGAACCCAGCCTCTCGGCTTGAACAGACTCCAAACAGAACTCCCTCTTCCTACCACATGCAGCCATCTTTGCACAATCCTAGGGTTTAAGAAATAAAAACTCAACAACAAAACTCCTTCTTACATAAAAATGAAAATTATCTTTTCTCCCATTAACATCTGTGGTATTTGACGTGCCAGGTAACAAATCTGATTGGATACCACACCATGTCCCTTTCCGCCTGGCTTCCTTGGTCACCTGTTTCGTGGCATGGCACCCAGCATGGAGCACGGGCCTGACAGTGACGCTGCTGAGCACCTAGGACAGGACAGCAAGGCCCGCGGCTGGACCCTGCTGTGTTGGTGCTGCCAGGCCGAACACTCTGCGGGCCACCCCACTGCATCGCTGGTTCACAGCAGGGCTGTACGGCACTAAACCCCACGCGGTCTGCTCCGCGTGGGCTGCATTTAAGCCAAAGTTCCCGGAACTAAAGGCAACCTTTCACTCCCCCCTTATTCCATACTGCCTGTCAGGATCAGTCTATCAAGGTCTCTTGCCACCATGGAGCCTAACTTCCAACATATCACGTGTCCCGCCAACCTCCTGCCATCCAAAACACAATTACCTGACCATCAGTGTCCCTTCCCGCTTAGTGATCGATATGTTGCCCACGACAAAGGTAAGTATCCTGTCAACTCCATACAGTCTTCCTCGTCATTCTCCAAATGCCCAGACCGTATTCTATTCTATGCACTGAGCAGCAGGCCTTCACCTTTGATGGGCATAGCAACCGCTGATAAAAATGCAAACTTGGGGGTCTTGGCTCCAAAGATGCAGTAGATCTGAGTAGGGACCCGGGAATCTGGAACTCCAACAGGCTGAATGAATCTAATACTGGGGTGAACAGACCACTCTTTGAAATGGTGTCCCAAACTCTTTTTGATCCTGTTATATCAGCAGTATGAATGTCCTGTTCCTCTGGGATCCTATGGCTAGAGTACATTACAAAGTCTCATGGAAGCAAGGAGCCCATCTGTCTTGTTCCCCGGTGTATCTCTAGGGCATAGCATATTCCTGGGAGTCTTAGCGGCTCACTACCTTTTTGTTATTTAATGAGTGAATATAATTTTTATAGTCTGTGCCACTCAGTACCACGTGAATGTATGAAACCCATCGGTACAGTGGTGGGCTCTCAAACTCTCACACTCAGTCATTGTCCCAGAAATGACAAAGGCCACGTAACACAGACTGTGTGATCTGCAGCACCTTCTACATGGAAGGTTGCTCCACAAATACTTATCAAAATAGACACGAGGGAGTGACTAGGGAGCCTAGAAATAAAAATACATGAGAACGTGGCATAGGACGTATGACAGTGGGTACAGAATGGCATGTGCAACGAAAAGTGCTGGGAAAATAACTACCCAAAAAGAAAAGTATAAAATTAGGTCCCTTTCTCATACTATATGCCTTATAGACATTTAAACTGTAAACAAACTAAAAATCTAAACATGAAAAGAAAAACTGTAATTTTTTTTAGTAAAAAAATAAGGGGATGTCTTCATTATATGGGGCTACAGAAGGATTTTTAAAATGACAAATATGAAGCATTTATAAAATTTTGAAGGAAAGGACTGACACATTTAAATATATTAAAATATCTTCATGAGAAACAGACCGTAACCAAGAAAAAGGACAGGCCCGACTGAGGAAGGTGTTTGTAACACATAAGGACAAACACTTTGTTCACAGAGCACATCCAAAAACTTAAACAATCAATCTCAGAAAGACAACTGATAGAAAAGTAAGCAAATGATATAAACAAAGAATTCATGAAAGAAGGGGGCACTAAACAGGAAATGGAATTAAAAAGAAATCCAAAAACTCGAAGATCGGTGACAATTAAGAGTGTGGATAACATCGAGCAGAGGTGGGATGCGAGGCCAGGGACCCGCGTTCTGCTCCTTAAACCGACTTTCACTGCGGAGAGTGAACCATGGTGCCAGGAAAAGTGACCGGCACTCGGCCAGGACCCAGGGGAGCGTGGCATGGGTGTCCAGTGGGACACCGTGCTTACAGTGAAAGGGTGGAAACCCCCTCACCGCCCATCAGGGGAATGAGGAAACTGTGGCTCAGTCTTACGATAGGAGTTAAAATCCAAATGGTGGTTCAAGTGAACAAAATCTCCATGACGAACTGCAGATACACAGTGAAGCCAAATGATATCACATATGAAAAATATAAAACAAATTTTTACTTGGGAGAATTTTTTAACACTATGGTACATACATTTTTAAAACTTTTATTACTGTGGCCCTTTTCAAATACACAAAATTATAAAAGTATAGTGAAACTCCTTGTACTATCTCCTTGCCTCAATAATTATGAGTATTTTGCCAAGCATTAGTATACGCTTTTACCAAAATCCATGCTGGGGACATGGCCTTCGGCTGGGACCCCAAGAGACCTTTGGACGAGGAGAGGCCTGGGACCCTGCGAGAACACAGGATGAGGAGCAAGGTGGCCGAGCTGGAGCAGGCGGTACCAACACCAGCACAGACTCTGCCTGTGACACCCCTCTGAACTGGGAAGGCTTCAGATTGGACTGATAAAATGTTTGGGGACAAGAGGAACTAAGCAGGATGCAACCTGACTTTCTAGCAGGTACAAATGGAGAAATCTAGAAGACACAAAACACATGAAAACCCAAAGGATCACAAACACTGAAACTGCACCCTCCCCGCTGGGCTTCCTAAGCAGATAACAGGAGTCTCCGCTAGCTCTCTGGGCATGACGTCACCCGCAGGTATCTGACATTGCTGCCTGCCCCCGAACGCCCATCTCCAGTTCTCCTGAATCCCAGGGCAGCAGGCAGCTTCCTGAGGGCTCTCTGCACCTTCTGCTCCCTCCCTCACTGCCGCGGTGCCCTGGCACAGACAAAGGAAGGCCCGTAGCCTGGCTCTGACTCCCCTAGGTGCCAGTGTGCTGGAGAGCAGGAGCGACTGGGAGACCTGGCGGACAGCCACGCCGGACACATACCTCTTGAAGCAGTGTGCTGCCGTGAGGACCCAGCAGCTACTCAGGAGCGTGGCCCCACAAAGGAGCCTGCCGTCCCCGTGGGATGACTTCAGCCGCAGTGACACCTGCCATGGCCAACCACCCCTAAGAAGAAAGTAAGCCACTCGTCAATGTCCGAAAGAGGCAGGAAGGCCAAGAAAAGCATCCATCAAAGCACTGACTTAGCAGGCTGTGGGTGGGGGAAAGCAGCACAAAAGGGACCCAGGATGTAAGATCCCCTCCTGCTCTGAGAATGATGCTGACGGCCTTGCGCGGACAGGCATCTGTATGCATTGCATCACTCTCTGACATTCCCGAAACCAGTTGAGTCTTCTGTATGTTTCATGATGCGAAGTGTATTCTCTCGCCTCACTCTACCCACCTCCCCTTGGCAGCCTGAAGAGTGTTTAATAAGCAAAGCACTGGTTTTCCACTAGCAAACCCAACAAACAAAATAATTATATTAACATGAGTCAAATCCAAAACAGATATGTTCTAAATTAAATGAACTTTGTAGTTATGCATGTTTTCAGCTCACCCATTAAATTAGTTTGTTTCTGCCACATAACTTTTCATAAACCGGCATAGTGACCTGAGAGCATGCTCTGTATGAAGTGAATACGTCCAAGGGCAGTGAAATGGCCATTGATTTGTATTTATCTTAGAAAATCAAATGAGTAAAATAAATACCTTATATCACAGTAGACAAGCCCCAATTTGTAACCCTGTATGTGCATGAAGAATTTGGTAAGATGGAAACCTCTCCTGAAGAACCTTTTACCTTAAAGAATTCTCCCCACCAATGATACGCTTCTGTCGACGGTGCCGGAGCCTCAAGCCACAGACAGACGACAGGGGCTCTGAGCAGAAAGAAACACATCATGAGTTACTCTCACGGTGCTAAGAGGCGGGTAAGGGTGCAGTCGCACATCCCCCTGCTGCTGCCCCATTTGAAATGCCTTTCTCTTCAAATTATAGCAAACCTGTTCTTACAACAAGCCAAGAATAAAAAGCTGTCCCCTCATTTAACTAAGGCCACGGTGACTGTCATGCAGACGAGGAGCATTATGAGGACCCCCACATCACCTCTGGCGGGTTTCGTGGGCTGCCGAGGGGCCTGGCCCTGTCCAGGACATGACCCTCCAGTGGGAGGGGCCTGCGTCTCCTCTGCTGAATACAGACATATTTGGGGTTCAGGAACATTAAACAAAACACAAGAACTAAAAGGCAATCCTGGTCTAAGACACTTGCTTTTCACATAAACACTCCTCCAAGCCATGTATGGACACGTAACTCAGGAACGAAGCGCACTCAGGGTGGAATTCTGATCTGCATTTCATTTTACTCAGATATTAACATGTGGAAAGGGTTTACTAAGCCCATCTGAGTGACAAGCTATATTTAAGGTGTATAGTCAAACTTCACAAGATAATAAACTCCTGTCAAGACTATAAGAAAGAGCTACATTAAAAATACATGAAAAGATGGTGTACAAAAGGAGGGTAAATCTCAGGTGTGACTAGGTTTTTAAACAATTTCAGAGGGTCGGGGTATTTTGTTTCTGTGGTTAAGCACATGTGTATAAAGGGTAGATATATACTGTTTTTCTGTAGGTGTAAGAAGAGAAGAGATTTGCCAAGAACATGAAAACCTCGTCAGCACTAACAGCCTCCCATGAGGACAGCAGCCCCATAATCTCCTAATGGAGAGAGCGCTTCCACAGTGTATATACCAAGATGACTAATCTGCCACATGACCTCAGATGCCTGCTGCCAAAGCTTACCCTCATCTCTTAGGACGGGAGTCCTCCAGATGACACTGCAAATTATAAGATATTAGAAAACCTAAGTTTGCAATACTGCTACAAGTCAGATCATGTGCACGATGCCAAGACAAGGAATGATGTAATAATGAGCCAGCAAAGGTAAGGGTTTACCTCACTCGGGGGCAAAGCACCAGACTGCCAGAAAGGGAAAACTATTCACAGCCATAAAATCCACTGTTACAAAAAGATAAAAAGCAAAATGAAGTTCATTTGTAAAAGGACCCCATCAGGCTGACTTATAGAAGTCAGTGGGTCTTGAGCCCCAGCACAGAACCAGGTTAATAAGCCAGATTGCATCTAGCTGGTCTGAGATGAAACCTTTTTTATTTGAGGTACAGCAGCATTGGAGCCATGGAAAGGTATCAAAATAAGTATTGCTACAGCTCTCGGAAGGAATAAAAAGAACTGTATAAATAACGGAGAAACAAATGTAGGGTATGTCATATTTTAAAATAGGATTACATAGAAATACAGTTATTGAATTTTTGTGTTTTTCTACTACTTAAGGAATAATCCAAAGAATTAGTTATATTAGTTATTTTTAGCTTGTAATTGTAGCTAAAATTATTGAAGGGGATTTAATAATTAAGTTGCAATCAATACTTAGGAAAAGCTGGCTTGCCAGATCACATTTCTTACATATAAATACCTATTCACATCTCAAAGCTGAAAGTGCTGTGAGGACCCTTCTCCACACTCAAAGGCCCCACAGACAGAGAGTGAGGGTCATATTAACAATACCCACGTGTTTCTTGTGTTGTCTTTGACAGTTATGAAAAGATATTAGAAAAGGGGAACACGCCAATACAGGTGCTCCTGATTGTCAGAAAATCCACCGTTCAACACTGTGAACTTTCAATCCACACAAATAAAGAGGCGATTGTTCTTTTCATAAAATATAACCAGTTTTCTCAAAATAGCTAGTTCTTCCACTTACTCATTTACATCACTATTTGTTGCATAAAAATTAAACTCAGAGCTTTCAAGCATTCTTCTATTTATTTAAGCATGAAGCACCTATGACTGATTATACTAAAAGATTATTTCTCATTTTCTTTACTTTTTTAAATTTCACAGAATAAAATCTACAAAAGATCATTTATTTTGTAATTAATCAAAAAAATTATTCCTGTTGTTTAAAATACTAGGAGGAGTACAAGAAGCGCCTTTCTGTCGTTACACCCAGAGGAGGCATGGCACAGACACGGCTGAGGACGTGAGAGAGGGGAGGTTCCAGAGAGGGCCGAGTCTTGTCAATCCACTAGTGGCCTTGAGCTCTGATCGCGGAGGAGCAGGCCTGTCATGGGCCACTGCCTCTGAACCCCAGCACAAGGAGCAGGGTGTGTCCTCCTGGCCCCCGCGCCTGAGCCGCTCATCAAAGCACAGCGTAGGGAATGACACGATCTAGGATCTCTGCCTTGTACAGCAGAAGGCGGCTTACCTTTATTACCGTTACCTGATGGTTTCTTGCCAACATAGTCACAAATAACGCCTGCGTCTTCACTGTGGCGGCAATTGTGTCTCCCAATATCATCTTTGATACAGTCAGCCAGGGACCTCTCGTTTCCTGTGCACTTCACGTTGTCCACGTGGATGGGTCCTTTCCCCTCCCCGAAATACGCCATGGTCCTGGCTCGGGCAGCACCCCTGGAAGCAGAGCGCGTTAGAGGACGAAGAAAATCAGTCATGCATCTGAAGGAAACAGGAGATAGACGTTTTTTAAGGTGCTGGATATATACTGCTGAATCAGGCAAGCCTTTGGCAAGCAAGCTGTTTATTTGAAATACGTATAATTAAAATGTAACTATTTAAAGAAAAAGAGCGTTTCTGTTTTATTTTGTATATGACAGTTCTATCTGTCTGGAATTTATTTCTGTTTAGTATTAATAAGGGGATGTAGCTTTATTTTAGTCCCTAAAGTAATTACCCAGTAACTCTTCCTGCTGTTTTGAACGGCTTTTTTATTTACTTATGTATCATGCTTATATGTCCTCAAGCCATTTCTTGATCTTTATAGTTCAGTAATTCCCAGCCTTGGCTACACATTAGAATTACTATTAGGAGCTTTTAAAATATAGCAAAACCTGAAGCCCACCTGATATCAATTAAAGTAGCATCCGTGGAGTGGAGCTAGGCATGGGGGTATTTTTTAAGTCCCAAAGTGATTTTAATATACCATCAAGGTAGCTGACCAGTGCTAGCTGGTGTCACCGGGCTCTTTGCCTGTTCCTGGGCCAGTCTCACAGGGATTGGATTTCAGACGAATTCAAAGTCAAGCCCTTCTCCCCTCCTCCCCCCACACTCATTTTGTGAGATTAGCATTTAATGTATAGATAAGTATCTAACTTGTCTTCCCAATAGGACTGTGGTGTATCATTTCTTCAATCTTCTAGCTTTAGCATAATAAAAACCATTTTTTTCCACATAGGTATCAATCCTTGTAAAGTTTATTTCTAGATTTTTTTTTTTTTTAGTTTCTATACCTTCTATAAATGATATTTTTTTCCTTTTTATTTTCTACATAGCATATAGGAACACTAATGTTTTAAAAAAATATTTATAATTTGTTACATTACTAAACATTATTTTCAATATCTTTTCAGTTGACTCTCCTGAGTTTTCTAAGTGAACAACCATATTATTTACGTAACAATTCTGAAGTGCTTTTCAATACTGATACCACAATTCTTAATGATTAGTGGGACCTCCCGACGACACTGAGTCATTGCAGTGAAAATAGGCACTCCCGTTTGTTCCAACTTGATGTTTGTTTTGATATAAAGTTAATGCGGTTTTCTTTTATTCTCAGACTCGCAAGTGATATAAAAAAGGAATATTGATTTTTATAGCTTTTCAACATTATTAAGATGATGATCACATTTATTTTCATTTGTAGAGATGACAAATGAAATACATTAATTGAATGCCTCAGCTTGAACCACTCATATTCTTGCAACAGACTGTTTGTTTGGGTTATATTGCTCTTTTAATACGTAGTTGGATTAATTTGCTAATATTTTGTTTAGAATTTTTTATGAAAATTTGTGAGACTGGGGTATAGCTTTCTTTGTGTGTGTGTGTGTGTGTGTATGTGTGTGTGTGTGTGTGTACTTCTCTTGTCTAGTCTTGAAATCAAGTTATAGTAGACTCAGAAAATGAATGCAAAGATTTCCATTTGTCTTTGTTGGGGTTTTATCTGTTTGTTTAGCTCTGCAACAATTTATGTAACTCAGGAATCATCTGTCTTGAAGACTGGTCAACATTTTTCATCAAAGACCAGAGTCATTTCTTCCATGGTCACTAATCTCTTTGGGTTTTCTATCTTTTGTTTCAATTTTGATAATTATAATTTTGTCAAAAATGTACAGTGTCCTAAGTAATTGTCCATTTTATCTAGATTTCCAAATTTATTAGCTAAAAAGTAGTTCATAGTATTCTACAATTCTTTAAAACGTTCTGTATATCTGGGCTTAGACTCCTTTTTTTTTCTCTAATGTTTACTTTTATTCTCCCTTTTCTTAGTTAGAATTGCCAGAAATTAGTGTTTATTTTACTAATCCTTTTTAAAAATGAATATAACTGTTGATATGTGGATTTGTAATGTAAAGCAACTTGAAATTCAAATAGGCATTATTTGAAGAAAGTTTTAAAAAATAATATTTACTTGTGAAACAAGGAAATAAAACAAGGAAATAAAATAAAGGCTTACTTCTCTTAAAAAACATTAAAAGCATTCAGAAACTAAAACCCCAGTGACTCCCATTAGTTTGGGGGATGACGTTCAGTGGGGGTAGAAGGTAAGTAACAGGATGATAAACGTCTTGATATTTTTCAGGAAGCGGAAGTTATAGATAACAATCTTTGAAATTGCTAGAAAATACAGCAGTATGTTTGCTAAAACGTCAGAGAACTTCTACTAAAACAATAAGAATGCTGAACTTCCAGGGTACTAGAGAAATGAAAGAAAATAAAAAACCGGATTGCCGGCAAATCAAAAACAGGAGGTTATACAAAGAACAGACAATGATGCGTGATATGTAGCATGAAAGCAGATGACAGGTAGAAGTAAACATGTAGAAAATTAAATTAGACGCATTCAATAAAACAAAAGGATGCTTTCTTAGCAATTTACCAATCAAGTAACAGGCTAAAAAAATGCACCATTTTAGATATAGCAACAAGTATAAACTAGAAAACATTTTAACTAATAAAAGTGCATGATTAAATAAAGACATTCTCAATAATACAGTGAAATCTAATACATTTATCAGTTTTTAGAATAGATAGGGACTGCATCATCTGTAGGAAACAGAGAAGAGGTATCCCCCTGAGCTAGGGGCCTGTGTGAGTTCCAGTTGGGGATTTCAATGAGACAATAGGCTCTAGTACATTCATCTTTAAACGGGGTGTCAAGCGCTCCCGGGAGTAGAGGATGACTTTCCAAGGGACACATGGACGGACTTTAAGGGAATCAATATTCAGATCCTCGACTTCCATGTATATTCACTCCTAAAACTGCTCTTGCTGAGATAAAGATTAACTTCGTCAGAATTTCCCTTCTCCCGCTTCACAAAAGAAAGGCCTATCTTTCACTCATCCCAAATCCCACCACCATGCACTGCTCCTAGATTAAAAACGCCTCTAAAGTGGCCAGAAGAACAATTCAAAATACATGAGAATTGAAGGCTCCTTTAATCCAAGAACCATAAACCCAGCCCACCAGTCTAATTAAGAAGTGGAAACTTTGGTCAAGTTTTATTCACAATGTTAACTAATTATTTACCCCCAATTTTTGTTGTTGTTATTGTTGTTCATCAGTTGTGCGCTAGAAATCATAAAAACCAGAGAGGAACTTGTTAGAAGAATTTAATTTCTCTCTCCCTGTGTGTACACACATGTGTGTGTGTGTGCACATATATACTGTGTGTGTAAACACATTTTTTAAAGCATAATGATATTAGGATTCTGTGGGGAAATAAAATATAAATTATAATTTCAAGGAGAAAAAGGAACTATGTAAAGTTTGTGCAGGTCAAAGAAGAGTTTGTTCATGTATTGTTTTTAAGTGAATGATAGAGAAATTGTCACATCACTATGATATTTATATTCCATTGGATATAATTAAAAGGGTGATGTAACTGTTCTATTTTTAAATGTCATACAAATATGCCACAAGTTAACTTCTTTGCAGTGATTCAAATATAAGATAAAAATTAGATAAACTTAATTTCAGGTCTCTACTAAAATAGTACGGGCCCACCATTTTTAAAAAATATTTTAAAGGATATTACTTTAATAAATATGCAGTTCCAGAGCAATGTCATACTGAAACATATGCTAATAGATGGACACAGAGTTCAAATAGAATGGAATTGCCTTCGTGGCTATTTAGTCTATCTTAACGAGGTTAACTGATGCCAACACATTCTCTCTCAGCCCTCTGAAAACAATATGCTCCTATGCTAGACCTTGTCAGACATTATGTAATACATCATTAAATAATGCCTTTCACTTTCTGTTGACTCCAAGCATGTCTAGATTAGTTACCCTCACATATCCTGGTTTATGTATGACTTCATTTGTTTCTCCCATTAAGAAAATGCGTTCTAACACCATTATGGGTCTCAGTGGGTCCAAGGACTAATCCTCAAGTGTGATACAGCTGGCTCAGGGACAGAGCTCCAGGCTGCTTATTAATAAGACCCCAGCCTTTTGAAGGCTTTCAAGTTTTCTGGATTGATTTCTACAAACAAATGCTGTATCAGAGACTTTCAACAACTCAAAGTCAGCACAGGGAAAGGTCTACTCTAGTCACATAGCTGTTGACAATTTTGTATGTGTGTCGTTCTGTGAAATCCCATTTCCTGTTAGTGGGAAATTATTAAAAGTCAAGTATGGGGCCAGCCGAGTGGCGCGATGGTTAAGAGCTGGCTTGGGACGCCAGAGGGCCCCGGTTCGGATCCCACATATGAGAGCCAGTGACACTGCCCTCCACAGCTAAGATGCTGAACAACAGCTCAACCTGGAGCTGGGCTGCTGTGAGTTGCAGGCGATGGCGTAGGCTGCAGCCCCTGTGGCAGTGGGTTGCCATGGGCTACCGTATGTAGCCAGCAGCCAGCGTGAGCAGCCAGCAGCCGCAGTGAGCGGCCATCCAGAAGCCGGCAACTGATCTGCCTCGCCTGGGAAGAGCGCAATGATGGTGCCAACTTGGGCCAGTGAAGCAACGTCCTCCACAACTAGACTGAAGAACAAAACGATAGCAACTTGTCTGTTCCCCTTCCCCAATTCCCCAGCGCTGTTCCCATCCCCCAATTCCCCAATAAAATTAAAAAAAAAAAAAAAAGTTCAAGTATGTTTGCATTAATCAAATACTTAAATGATTCTCATTTAAATACTATTTGATGGAAAACAATGGATTATGCACTGGAAGATGATTATCCACTATTATAGAAAGTTAAATTACTGTTTTACTTACAAGACTTTATTAGAAAAAATTATAAAGTAAAATCTTTCAATACTTTTCTTGGTAATTGTTGCAGAAATATTATTGAAAATTGCTACAAACTTTGTTCACATAATCTAGATTCTCACTTATATTCGTCATTTGAGTTCAATATAAAATGGACTAGAGCCAGCCAAGTGGCTCAGTTGGTTAAGAATGCGAGCTCTGAGCAACAGGGTTGCCAGTTCGATCCCCACATGGGCCAGTGAGCTGTGCCCGAGCTGTCACTGAACTGCTAACAGGTGGCAGGATGGCTCAGCTGGTGAGAGCACGTGCTCCTAACAACAAAGTTCCTGGTTCGACTCCCGCATGGGATGGTGGGCTACACCTACCTGCAACTAAGATTGAACACGGCACCTTGAGCTGAGCTGCCGTGAGCTGCCGACGGGCAGCTGGATGGAGACTGACTGGACTTGGAGCTGAGCTAGCTGCACCCCCACAACTATGATTGAAGGACAACAACTTGGCTGTTCCCCTTCCCCAATTTCCCAATAAAATCTTAAATAAAAACAAAAATGAAATAAAATGGACTGAATGATTAGTAAAAAGCAACGAAACATGTAGGAAGAAATCAAACTGAAAAGGCACTGATGGATATGCTTAGGAACTTTTCCTCTCCTTGAACTTGGCTTCAACATACAATTTGAGGGTCACGTTTGACCTTCCCCTTCATATTTCCAAAGGCAGTACTAGGTTTCTTGGATCAAGTCTATGAAAACACTAAAAGTAGGACCAAGAAACCAGTCTCAAACAGCAATATACTTTAACGGCTGATTTTAAATAAGGAAATTCACTGAGAATGTAATGTAAGAATAATAATATATATTTTTTCAAATGAGGAAGGAGCATTAGAAATGTTGTGAGCACAGGAAACCTAAGTCATTGCCTAAATTCGTGCAGGCATCTAGTGCCGACTCTCCCTGCCTTCCCCTACTCCCCGTACTCCGAAAGCTGAAAAATCTGTTACATACCAATTCTGAATACTGAGAATTTTATCACAAATAATGGACTCATTGACCAGGGGACACTTGGAATTGCAACGAGGTCCAAAACTGAGCAGCAGTAAATTAAAGTAGCATCTGAGTAACAAAAACCAAACTTCAAAATAAAACTTCAGAAAAAAAAAATGAACATTTATTAAGATAGAAATACTTTTGAAAATAAAAAATGTACTCTGCACAGGAATAGCCAATTAAACATATCACAATTAAGATACATATAGATGCATAATTAAGGATATATTTTAAAATTTAAACCACTATTAGTAATCTACTGTGAGGTGGGCGATTTATGTATATTAGCTTAAATGTTCTAAATTGTAATGTGTTCCAGATATTTGCAATTCCACAGTCAAAGGTCGCAGAGCCCTCACAGTCTCTTGGACACGTGCACAAAGCCTCCCAAACACTGAGTCGCCCAGTGGAGGTTTCCCAGGAGGCGCTCTGCCCTTTTACTTGGTCTAGCTAGTGCCACGCTGTCACACTCTATCTCGTGCCTCAGTGAAGCCTGTCGAACGCATATATTCTCGCAATAGGACACATAACAGCCTCCTGACTCGGGAACTAGCTCTAGACAGCATTTCAGCATCATGCTCCGGGGCCGTTTTAAACAGTGAACTCATCAAGAAAAAGGTACAAAAAAACAAAGAAAGGAAAAGGCACTGAGTTGACTACAGAAAAGCTGGTTGCATGCAAGTACGAGAGCTGAAACCGGGACGCAGGGAACACTTGTGCAGCAGCAGCTCTGGAGCAGTGGCTCAGGGCTTGCTGATTCAGTGACCACGGTGACTCGAAGAGACAGCTAGTGTACACAACAGGAGCCACGTGTCGTTTCAATAACTTTACAGTCTCTTCAACAGCTACAGTGTTGAAACCTAAACCACAGAGGGAAAGGTTAACACCTCTGCCTGACAGAAGCACTATTCAGAATAGTCAAGTGTTATTACATGATTGCTGTTAAGTAAAAGCCCCATGTCTTATGTGACATGTATATTTCTTGTGGGAAGACAGAAAAATTTAAATACACTCTACTTAGTATTCTTTATAATTCTAGAACAAATCAATATTTCCAACTGAATGGTATAAATAATTTGAGGTCAGAAATAACTCATTAGAACAAGGCTTGAAGAATTAGAAATGTTCATCAAGTACCCACCCCAAATAATTAGCTTTCCCTTACTTGTAGCCAAGCTGTCGGCAGACCACAGCAGCATCCTTGTCTGTCCACCCGTCATCACAGACTGTTCCCCACTGGCCGTTGATGAAAACCTCCACTCGGCCTTCTTTCTTACTTTCTCCATCCATCAGTCTGATAGGAAAACCTAAGTCATAATTCAAAATTATTAGAGAAGCCAAACAGTGAAACTCAACTAAGGCATGACAGACTTCATACAATACAATCTGCTTTTTAAATTAGCTATAAAATTAGCTGTGGGGAGGGGGGGAGGCAGAGGGAAAGGGGAGAGAGAGAGAGAAACAGAGAGAGAGAGAGAGAGAGAGAGAGAGACATTAACAAAAAACTGTATCCACTTTTGCAATATCTTTTGAAGGCTTGAGGTCACAGTGCTCCACTTTGTAGTCCCAGCACTTGGAACAGTGCCTGGCATAGAAAGGACATGCAGTAGCTATTTGTTGAATAAAGGAGTGAATGAATAAATGAATGAATGAATGAACGAATGAACAGCACTGCAAAATTGTGAATGATTTTATTACCACTAGCTTCTAAATAGTAAAAGACATTAACTTAGAGTTGTTTTATTTCATGTGTGTTCATTTATCCCTGAACATAGCTAGAGAATTACACTCCAAAGCTAAGATTTTTAGGAAGGCATACATACGCTACATCCTTGGTGTGTGCCTCATATGGGTAACGTGAATGCCGGAAGAGAACAGAAAAAGAAGGCAGCTCACAAGGACACCTCAGACCTGCTATTTACTGCTGATTCCAAAGGAAGGGCTTAAGTCATAAAAGTTACTGAGACATAAAACCTGAGAAGCTGATCCGAAGCAAACTGAGGTTTAAGTCATGCAAGTGAAGTGACCTGTAGAGTTCCACATATCTCTGCTGACAGCAATAAATGTGGTGTCATTTATTTCAAAGGCTAGTGTGGCTTCACACCATCAGGGGCTGAGCTGTGAGGTCATGAGGGTGGACCCTAATCCAACACGGCCGGTGTCCCTATCGGAAGGGAAAATATGGACACAGAGGTCGCAGAGGGAAGACAATGTGGAGCCACAGGAGAAGATGGCCCCCAGCACGGAGAGAGGCCGGAAACAGGCCCTCCCTTGCAGCCCTCAGGAGGAACCACCCTGCTGACACCTTGATTCTGGACTTCCAGCCTCCAGACTGCAAGACAAAAGGATCTGTCGTTTAGGCCACCCAGTCCGTGGTGCTTTGTTATGCAGCCCTAGCGAACCAGTAAACAAACTTTAGATTACCTCGTTACTAGAAGGCCCTCTGGCTTCAGGGCCCCTAAGACTCATTGGTAAGGATTTAGGGAACACAGTGAAGCATGGTGAAGGTTTCAGAACCAAGGAAGTGGAGGGTGCAGCTAATGAAGACAATACCATTTAATATACATTTAGACCAGCATATAAGGTGCTAAATCGACATCTGTCAATGGAAGAAAGCACTGTTGGCAAGACCGGCACATCTTCCTCTGACTCACCTGATCATTTTCACTTCTGCCTCCTGTGCTGCCCAGCTATTGCCTGTGACCATACCCACGTGGCGGCACGGGCATCAGAGCAGAGTCAAATTCCACCAGATCCCCCAATGCACAGGCATTCGCTGCGTTCTTACTCGAGTCACCTTTATCATCCTAGAGTACTGCTTTTGAGCATTCCATCCATCACAGACCGAAATACAGAAAGTGTTTATTGAACTCTCGCTAATTTTGAGAATGGTTTTATCCACATTTAAAGTTAAGGTACACATATTGCCTGTCAAACAGTGAAAACAATAATAGTCGAACAGCTCCTCATTGCCAAGCCACAGAAGTGAAACATTTCGATTGTCCTTTAAACGCTGTGGTTCATACCACCGCCCCCTCCTCCTTCTCTAAGGCTCTCTTTTAAATATGCAGTCATTTTGGATAAGTGGGGAAGTAATGATTTTTTTGGATGAATAAATGATTCGATTCCAAAAGGATATTTGGCTCAGACATAATGTTCTTCGGACAAATGAATAGTTAACAGACACATTACCAAAATTAGGACCAAAGAGATCCAATAATGACCACATCTTTTATTAATAATTATCACCCCTGATTTTTAAATTTTTAAAAATTATATATGGAATCCTAGAATTACAAAGATTTCCAGAACGAAAAGGTCAGCTGTCCTAAGCACATGGATATATTTCAGCACACAGAACTCCAGAGAAGTCAGGTTATAGGATCTACAGTATTTTGTCACCTGGTGGACTGATGGAGCGTGCCTGGATAGATCACCGCATGTCCCAAATACCTGCTACCTGGGGCTGAGAGGATCCATTTCTAGCAAACGGGTCCTATTTCCCCCCAAAGACATGTAATCCTTCATCATCTAATCCTCCATAAGAAGAAGAGAGAAAGGCAGGAGAACCAATGAAAAGAAATGAAATGGGAAATATGACGGTAAGGGGTGGAGTAAAATGTTGCATTTCTACTTGGTCTGACGCTGGATTCACGCAGGGAGGCACCGTGAGCTCACAGTTTAAAGTCCAGGAGGCACCAACCACGCACTCTGACAAACCTAACAATGCAATACTGTTAATTCTGGGGGTTCGGGAAGTTCCGCTGTTTTATAACATGAAGATTTCAGCTTCACAGTCTCAAAACAGGAGGATACAAAAAGCCTTAATTCAACCCTAAGGTGAAAAGTAAGGATCACCTGTGGTTATTTTAACATGTATTTACAAAATTACATTATACATAGATATTATGTATGCTATATATAGTATTATACATTATTCTGCCCTCGTTGTAAGTTAGGTCTGTCTAGGATATGTAGTTGTTCTCTGCTCACAAGACGGCCTTCATCTATAAATATTTCAAGACTGTTAGATGAGCTACTTACCTTTTATCTACCTTTAAGTCTGAAGAAATTTGGAAGTAGGGAGTAGTAAAGGTCCATGGTGGGTTTCTAGAGGAACAGGGTCTCGTAGAAAGATGGGCGGGCTATTTAGCACAATGAATCCCCTTAGGAGCACTGGGAAACCTGGCAGATCTAAGCTAGGCCAGAGCAACGGTGGCTGCTGACGTGACTGAAGCAATGCATCATGGGGGCTAAGGGAGAGCACTATCGTTTCATTCTGATTTGTTTTTAATCCTGTCTCTAATAGTTCATAGAATTCAAGGTAAATGAGAATCAGGACAGGGGCCAATGAGTAGGGGATGGACATCCCAGCTTCTGTTTCCATCTTTCAGCTACACGTGATTATAAACATTTTTAGTGAGAAACTTGACTTCTAGGTAAAGAAAAAGAACTTTAGGAGTAGACGTTTTATAACATTTGTGGGAAGAGTCAAAAGGTCGTTGCTCTGAATGCTAATTACTGGAAATGAGGACATTATGGGAAATAGACTAAAAAAGCCAAAGCTGAGAAGTGCGCCATGCTGTGGGCCAGTGGAGAGAGACGCCGGGGCTACTGAATTACGATGCTCGAGCGGGGGTTAGGTCCTCACCCAGGGAGAGCCTGTGTCCCTCGCCGCCGGGGTAGCAGGCGATGCCCACGTCTTCCCGATGGCTGCAGTCATGCCGTCCCCACTGTGGCCTGGGACACTGAAGGAAACTGGCTTCCCTTCCTGAGCAGCTGACATCATCCAACCATATGGGCCCTCTGCTTTCTTCAAAGTGGTTTGCAGACACTTGTTTGCCATATCTGTGGTGATAACATAAACACTGCAGAGAACTGCTGTCTCTTGTTTCAAGGAACCACAAAACGTAGAACAAACAACCTAATTAAGTGTCATGACTTCAGAGGGTAAGTGTTCTTTCTCCTAGCATGGGGACTCAGTTCTAAGAGAAATGTCCACTGCATCACACATTTTGACCCCTTGAACAATTTTTGATTGATTCAGTGGGAGAGTGATCGATAATTCATCCTCCTTCCCCATTCATTCTTGTGGTTTAGCTACGGTTTAACCCATCAACCAGAAAGAATGCAGACAAAGAGCGAAACCTTCAATCCCGACAGGGGAATGACACTGTGAATCAGAAAGTGAGAACACTCATCTCGCATGGGCCTCTGATGAGCCTTCTCAGCTCATCTGATTCCATCCACTTCTCCCAGCCTCTCTGCTATTCTCTCCTCCAAAGTAAAAAGTGGCTGTTAGTTCAGTGATTCCTCAAGTACATGCCCAATCCAGGATGACACTAGGACTTCAGCCCATGAAAATCAGAGTAATCACAATGTGCTCAGCTTTTCAGAAGGTTACTTGATTTTTAATTTTTTTATAAATTATATTTGTTCCAATTTACTTGATTTGTAACACTGCACTACAGAAAACCTAAATAGATTATAATAACTATATATGCTGTAGAAATAAGAGAGATTTGCAAAACAAAACTTGATAACTAAGCAGTCTGCATCCTCATTTATTTCCCCCCAATTTTGTTTTCTTTTGTTCTATAAAACCCAGATCTCCAGAAATCACTGAGCTAAAAGATATTTAAGGTGTTTTTCAGTTCTAAGAGTCTATGCAACTGAACTCTTACTTATAAATTTTATGGCAATAGCTTCCCTCCCTGGATGTTTTTATTATTTCTGTACTAGGAACATGAAGAAATCTTTCTATATGGCATGAATTTTCCTAATTCTTTTCCTATGCACTCATTTATTAAATTTATTTAACGAGATTAGCATTTTAATAAATTAAAGCAACGCAACGTTTATTTAATCCTTCTAAGACCTTCTATTTTTCTGACTAATCAAATCTTAGCTGGGAAAGTAATTAACCTAAACTCCATATTGCTATCACTTTCAATTTATACCATTTTCCCACAAAATGCATCAATCCGATTACCATTTGTCCCTATCGACTGTACAACAGATCAGAGCAGGTCATTTTATTATACTTTGGGATTTTACTTGTACAAAGAAACCCAGATTCAACCTTTGTCATTTCAAAAGAATATTCTTTCAAAAATTCTAAATGTAGCACATGCCTATTCTAACACAATTATTTAGAACTTTTACAAATATTGACAATATTTTAGAACAATTAAGTTCTGATATGCTATAGACACAAGAAAAACTGAATGAATTTGTGAATCAAAATAAATAAAATATGGAGAAAAAAATCAGTATCAGTCAGTTGTTTTCCTTAATAAGGAAAAATATCAAAATAGTAAATAATAGTATTTGCAAATCATTCTAAATCTGTGAAAGTGAGATATAGTCCTCAGTCTAACAATTTATTTAAAGGTGAAATGACATTTATTAAGTAATTCTTATTAATTACATATCAATACTTATTTGACTGATATGCCATACCCCTTGTCCCAATAATTTTAACTACAGTGCCCACAAAAATTCAAAATATTGGGCAATAACATGTATTTATATCTTTATGATAGCATTATTTATAACAGGAAAAAGTAAACTGACCAAAATATTAACTAATTTATTGTATAGACATTCAATGGATATTATGCTATCATAAAAAATTATGACTATGTAGTAAAAAATGTGGATAGAAAAATTACATATCCACTACTAGAGCTATTATAAAGTTATACACATAAGTTATAATAATGATGGTATACGAATGGAAACAATATGAGTAGTTGTTTATTTTCTTTATTTTTCAAACTTTTGTGAATATTTTATATTACTTTCACAAATTTAAAACTATATATTTAAACATGGCCATGCCTAATGTGAATGAAAGTATATTTTTTAAGGTTTAATGAGTATTTGCAATTAGCTCGACCTCAAGCTGAAATGAAATAATTTTGCCCATTCTTTTCATGCATGACATAGAAATCTGGACAAGAAAGAACGACATTCATGGGCTTCATTCAAATATTAACTCAAAGGCATCATTTGCAGTTCCTTCAACCAACTTAACTCTTTGCTCTGGAATGCATTAACTGTGTGACATGAAATATGTCCCCCAAAGTGTGATACTCAGCTTTAGGAGTGTGAGGTCAAGGGTAAGTTCCAAAGGTCATCTCGTGACAAGAAGGCTGTGTTACTCAAATAAAAGTGATAATTATCATCACACTCTGATGAGAAAGGGAATCATGTAATTCCAAAGCAGTTGACACTGGACTCCCCATATGATGATGTCAGAACGAACAAATCCAATAGTAGGGTTGTGTCAGAATAAACCGAGCATTCACAGCAGACAGTCTTACTTAAATAGACACAAAAGGACCAAAAAGTCACCCCTGGCTCCAACCAATTATTCAAGAAGAAGGGTGGTGGCAGGAGAGGTAAATGCGATAAGTGGCAAAATATGGTTAGCCACCACCATAGAAAATGGTATTATGTTCTATTTCTGTCCTTCCATATATGGATAGGCAGATAGGCAGGTAGGCAGGTAGGTAGATAATAGGTCATGTATTTTGATTACTGTATTATAGAGATTATAGCAAAGACTACAAAATCAGACTTTAAAAACATAATTTGGCATCTAGCTGCCTCATCTCAACGGGCCTTACTTAAATCCCAGCTGTCGGCAAACCACATACGTATTCAGCTCAGTCCAGCCATCATCACAGACGGTCCCCCACTGTCCCCGGTAATACACCTCCAAGTGACCCTCATGGCTGTCTTTCCCGCCTGCAAGTCTGAGGACTCCATCTGTGATAAGGGGGAGACACAAAGACTAAGCAAATCAATTCTCAAAAAGGGGCAAAACGACGTTTTCATTTTCCCAGAAATATCTCCATGTTTATTGATAGTTCCCTCTCTAGGCCTTTTGTTAAACTTATTTCAGGGCTGAGGTCAATGGCCTGAGGTCACTGGATGTTCTAAGTGTGACAAACACAGACCTGCCCTAAGAAATAGCCTTTCCTTTTTATTTGTACTCTTGTTCTCTGAGGAGAACAATGTATTCTCATAGAATCCCGAAGTCGCTATTTAAATTTCTCTGGATTAAATAATATTTGGAAAATTTCCTAAGGCTTCCATCTCTTTGAGTCTGAGCAGTATTAGTGATTTAGACTTAAAAAGTAAGAAAACATAGTAAGTTAGAAATAGTTCAACATTATAACTGAAAGTGAAAAAATACTAAAATACAAAGATAGAAAACCTATTCTGGTTAAAGAGTGAGTGATCTAGCATGTGAATGCATTCATTATTCCTTAGGCGTTCATAAATTATAAAAACTAGGGCATGGCTTGCTTTTGTTCTTTTACTGATAATACACATCTGAATTTGAATCTTATGAACTCAATGAATAATTAATCCCCAGAGAATCCTGTAAAGAGCTCCTCAGTAGATATACAATACAATCAGTTTGTCCCCAAAAAAGTAGATTTAAAATATATTTCCATCCAAAATAATCCAAACACCCCTCCCCCCCAAATAAAACATAAATAATCTTGGGTAAATGTCAGACTTTTCATGAATCACTCGGATCTTTTAAAGCAAACTGAGGTCTCTTAGCAACAGAACCACTTATTAATGTAACATTTTGCTCTCTGCAAAGTACGGTTACCATCACAGCAACACTACAACTATCTCATTTAAAGAGGAGGACACGGAGGCCCGAGCCGCTGACGTGCTCTGGCTTAACATATTTGTATGCTCACTTGGCAATATTATCTAAACTGAGCAAAAGGGAAGGGAAGCCCAAACAGGGCTGGAGGCCAGAGTGGGTAGATCATGGGGTGCCATCTTACCCGTTAGAGGGGTGCAGGACACGCCAGCATCTTCCCTGTGGCCACAGTTATGCTCGCCCCAGGAGCTTTTTGGACACTGCTCAATAGAAAGCTCATTGCCCGTGCAGCGCACTTCATCCAGCATCACCGGGCCGGTTCCTTCGCCAAAACGCGCCTGAGGCCACGCTTTGGCCATGCCGCTGCACAAAGACAAGAATTCGGGATGAGGTGCTGAATGTTGGTCTGACTGGCTTCCTTTACCCTGGGAAAGGTTTAGCGATGGTTAGTCCATACTTCCCGTATCAGCTCACTTCACAGGTCGCGCACGAATTCCTGCATTCTGTTGGTCGCTCTTTATATCCTTGACCATCACAAATTCAAAGACTGCCACTAATGCCCCAGTATTTACTCTCCCTTTTTTCATCAGTAATGAAACCTCAGATTTTTAGAAGGGCAATTGCTGTCCAGAATAAAAACCACATTTCTCAGCCTCCTCTCCTTTTAGACGACTACATTTGTTTGTTGTAAAGTATACCTAAAGTTGACCATTTTAAACATTTTAAGTGTGCAGTTCAGTGGCATTAGGTACATTCACACTGCTGTGCACAGATCACCGCCATCATCTCCAGAATTTCTGCATCATCCCAAACTGAAACTCAGCAGCCATTTCACAAGACTAAGTCTTCACCAGCGGTACTTAGGTGGGAGTGCCATGTATCACTTCCAGGAAGCATCTTTCTGTCACTTCCTCCTTCCTGCCGACTACAAGGCTGATGGGGTGGCTGTACCCTGAGAAGCCACCTGGGGCTATCAGGTGCCATCCTAGGAATGACAGGGCTGCCAGCAAGAAAAGGCCTTGGGTCCTGAGGGTGCTGCAGCTAACCTGGCTGCCCTCCGCTCTGTCTCCCTCAGACACAGATTCTGGTCTCATTTGAGCCACTGTTATTTTCAATTCTCTGTTACTCACAGCCAAACATATTTCTAACTCAAACATCTCTTCATTCAAATTTATCTTCACTTAAATTTACTTCTCCCACACATCAAAGTGACACCACATTCTAGAACCCCAGATTTCAGTGGAGAAGATCATGATTGCCTGTCAAAATGATTAATGACTTTGGAAATTGCATTTTCAGCTTCTTTTAGCTTTCTAATTTTTAGACTACAGCACTTATAGTTTTAGTTTATTTTCCAATGAAACTGCATCTATACCCATTGTTTTAGTTGCCTTTTTCTCATAGCATTACAACTATCTTGATAATTTACAACCAAAATATATTGTGGGCTAAGAGTGGTTTCCATACTTTATATGGCTGGAGAAAACTCAAAACAAGAATACAATTTGTGACGTGTGAAAATCATATGAAATTCAAATTTCACCATTCAGAAATAACGTTTTACTGGAACAAGCCACCCTCATCCCCAATATGCTGCCTATGACTGCTTTTGAACTGTGCAGGCACAGCTGGGTAACTGCGGAGTCTAAATGCTTAATGTCTGGCCCCTTACAATGCAATCTGCAGAGCCCTGCTCTGGGGAAATTGACTAATGACAGCGGCTATGGAAACGGACTTAGAGAACATGGCAAGCTGGAGAACAGAGGAGGAGGGGACAGGATGACTGATGCGGGTCGTGGGGGAGCCAGAAAGCAAACTCCAAGGGATGCAGTGCACCGAGCCAGGGCAGGTGCTGTAAGAAAACCAGGGCCCAACATGGGAGAATACAAAGTTTGCTTCCAAACAACAGAAAGGAAAATGAATTCCAGATGGCTCATAGACCCAAATATTAAAAGAAAGAAATGAGACAGGGGTGGGAGGGAGGGAGGGAGGGAGGGAAAACAGAAGGCAGGCAGGTTAAAAAGTTACTAGAATAAAAAATATGGTTCTTATAACCTTGGGGGTAAAATTTCCTAAGCAGTATTAAAAACCCAGAAGTTAGAAAACAGGCTGAAAAGTTAAATTTGACCTCCCATAAACTACTGTACAGCAAAATTAACCATAATCAGAATCGAAAGGCAAACAGGCAATCTGGAAGAAATATTTGAAATATGAAACAGCAACCAAAGGGGGAAAAACTCCTAGAAATTAATAATAATAATAACTTATTATTACATTATAATGTAGACAAAACAACCCACACACACACATACACACACACACACAGGACAATAGGGAAAACCAGGCTAATCACACAAAAAGAAATATTCATGGCCACTGAACATAAGATGCACAGCTTTACAATGGCCAAAAAAAGTAATAATGCATTCTAATCTATCCCATTTTTAGAGATTTTAAATATCAATATCATTTTCACACTCTATTTAGGCTAAAAGGTTACAAACTCAAGAAAAAAAAATAATGACCCAAGATAGGCTGGACAGAGTAACTGAGGTATATTGTATTTCAAATACTCGTATGTTAAAAATTTTGTAAGCCCTCTTTAAAAGACCACTTGTGTGTTTTACTTTCTTTTTTTTTTTTTTTTTTTTTTTTTTTTTTTTAGCTGAGCCATCCTGCTACCTATTGGCAGCTTAGCGGCTGCTCAGCTCGGGCTGGCCTCGAACCGCTGTTGCTCAGAGCTCAAACTCTTGAGCGAGCTCTTAACCAACTGAGCCATTCGGCCGGCCCTGTGTTTTACTTTCTTCCTTATATATTTCCATATTTTCCATTGTTTATAATCATTATTTTAATGATCACAAAAAGGTTTAATTAAAATAAATTAATCAGAAAAAAAGTAAGAGAATAAATTTGAGAACCAAAAAAATTAGGAAGCTATGCTATAACACCAACTAGGTTTTCTAGCTAATTTTTGAGGCTATTAAAATTGAGAAGATAATATTTACATACACCACATTCCTTCAGCCAGTCACTGGTGTTTTCTGGTGCCCAGAGCTGGGCTGGGTTTCCAGGGCATACCAAAGAACATAGATTCCACAGGTAAGGGGGAAAGCGACACAGAGGTTGTGGCGTGTGCAAGTCAGTGCAGTGTGGATTCCACAGGGCTGCGTGTTCTCCGCTCCTCCTTATGGAAACTGTCCCCACACCAGCCCTGGCCGTTCATCTGTGGTAACAGCCCCAGAGCTCTTACCCTCTGACCACAGAGTAAGCTTGTGGATTCAGGGGCTCTGATATGATACACTGAGTTCTTCAGTTATTTTTCTCTAAAGCTATCTGACCCCATATAACAGCAATCCCCAATAAACACTGAATTGATTCTATGTCTCATCCTTATCCAAAACATCCCGAAACCTGTTTAGCTAATGAGGTTGTATTCATATAAAGTTGCTTGTCTTTTTTGTTTTGTTTTGTTTTGTTTTTTCATAGAAAAAGACCAAATAGCACCATCTGACTAACTCAATCTCCAGGTTTAGCAAGTACTTTGAAAAGACGCAGGCTCAAGTTAGGCTCAAGTTAGGCAATTCTTCTGTTGTGCAAGATAATCATTTGTTAGGGTATAAAAGATTGGTCCTTGAACTGTAAATATCAGTTTGTGATACTTGTAAGCTATGGATGAAAGAACTCATTTTTAATTCTCAATATCCTAGCTTTCTCTCTGGAAAATGCCCCCCTCCATCTCCGAGATATCTGTGCCTGCTGAATGCTTACTGATGCTGCCATGGGTCTATCAGCTGTATGTGTACTAACTCACTGAAGCCTCCCTAGATTCCATGATGTCACACTCCTCAATTTACAGAGGAGGAAACTGAGGCCCAGAAGATAAATAATTCGCCCAGCGTTCCACGACCACCAGGTGATAAAACCTGGTGGCTGCAGAGCAGACTGAAATGAAACATTGTCTTCCAGCCTCCTGGGTCTTTGCAGTTAGGGGCCTGAGGCACCTCAAATACTGCTGAGAACATGCTCGTTGTCTTCCAAAGTTAACTTTCCTCTCTTGACTACCTATGTCTTTCAGACCTACATTTGTATTTATTCTTATCAACACATGGCTATTTTGCAAATAGTGTAACATGAAAGAAAAAAATCCTACATTGGGAGCCATTAACCCCAAGAGTCTGGCTCTCACTAATAGTATGACTTCTGGATTTGGGATAATCTCAGAGGGCCTAATAACCTCATCTATTAAATAAGGTCTCTTTCCTGCTCAATAATTCCATGTACCAGGTTATCTTATGATTAAATCTATAAAATATTTTTAAAATTTAATGAACAGTAAAATGAAAGGGCAAAAAGACATTTTTTTAAAAAGCCAGAAATTTATTCTGACCACTCAATAATATGGTTTTATATGATAATTTTATAGCAAAAAAAAAAAGGAAAAACTAAGACGTGTTCAAAGCTTTAGAATTCCTATGCAAATGATGGCATATCCACAATTGAATATGACATCACGGTCCTAAGCTACGCTTTTAAGAGGTTTGAAAGTCACAGGAAATGCTTTAATGTTCAGTGTGTACAAGGAAGTGAAATTAAGTGTGTCCACCTGAACCTTCGTTTTGTACACACGCATTTCAAGCTCCATCTTCTAACCTCTGACTGCCTTCTTTCCTGCTGCTCCTCTTCTCCAAGTTCTAGGTTAATCAAATTTAAGTGTCTTAAGTACAGTAATTCCTCTTGTATTTAGGAAGCTTGCCAGCTACCAAATCAACAGACGCCACTAACAGATGAGGGCCAACAAAGACCACATCTCACAAAGGAATCATAACCACCACCGCAGGGAGGCATGGCACAGTCTTCCTCTGGGAACACAACAAAGCAAATAAGACTGAGCTGGAATGTGCTCAAGAAAGAATCATAAATCGAGACAAGCAACAATTACACTGTCTGCTATCAATCATGTGCTGTTAAAAACAATACGTCTGAAAGCACTGTGCCTTTCAGTGAGCAAACAAATCCTAGAGGAAGGGCAGTTGCAGAATATTGCTTTAATGCAAATTGTGAGAGGACTAGGAAATCAAGTGAAAGAAAGGCAAATGGACCACATTAGCTCCAAGCATCAGAGCACTTAGACTAAAAACAAGCCTCTGGGTGGCTGATTGTCGCATAGGCTGGTGGAGGACCTCTGCCGCCTGCATATTTGGAGCTATTTTTCCTTTTGATCCCTTTTCCAAACATGAATCCTCTCATACAAAGGATAGCAATGAGCTACTGCTTGAGAAGGATGCAAACACATGAGAAAGAACCCACACACGTGTTCAGCATTAATACTCTTTCTTGTGATTCTGCCTCTACGTTCTTTCCATGGAACAGACTGTTGTTTGTCCACATGGGCTTTGTTTAAGAGCAGTTTACGTAAGTGAAAAAAAAATATTTTCCTCTCAAGAAAGAACTCTACATTACAACCTGAATTTTTAGAATCACTTCTGAAACTGTCAATATCATTAATATTCACAGTGTGTCATTTAAATTTTCTATGCATTTTTCTGAGCAACCAAAGCTTGCCTTTCCCCACAGAAATATATTCATAATAAAAAATACCTTACAGCTTAAACTTAAGAGTAGCCGATGCTGCAACTGGTAATGTTAAACATACTGTTACTATACCCTTAAAATTCTGAATGGTTTGGCAAAGATATAGGTCTCTTAGCAACTAACATGCAAATTAATATTGACACCACTGGCCACATAATTGATAATCTGGCTCATTCATGTATACATATACATATATATATATATTAGAATGATTTTTAAATATGAAATTCATAGATACAGCCAACTAAATAGAAGTTACGGATAGAGGAACGATGTTTGATAATCTCACCACTAAATGCTCAGATTATTGTGAATGTTTAACAGTGTCTTTCAACCATAACAGTCCCTGGTTAGATGGCCCTTGGTAGCCAATGTGCACCGTATACCTGCCCTGTGCACTAACCGCTTTTTAGACACTACACCCTGTGCGACAGGAAACTCGTTACAGATGGGAAAGTGCAGCTCTTCTCATCTGCAGCCGCAGCACTCTACTCCTGCTCATTCTGAGTGCTGGGCGCATGCTCAGAACCTTATGCTATGCTGACGCCAGCACCACCTGGACATTTGAGGAAAACTGGTCTTGAAACTGAAACCCAATCAGAACAGTTTCAAAATCTAGTCTTGAAAGTGTAATGATTAATAACTGCTGTCTTAAAAAGAACTGGTTGGCCCTATTCGTGGGTCATCCAAAAAAAAAAAATGATGACACCAGTACACTTAACACCGGTAACCATCAGCCCTGCAGACACAGGATCGGCCGTGCTTGTTCATGTTGAACTGGCAAACAGTGTTAGGTCCCAGGACCAGTTATGGGGGGAAGGTAACTCCCCACTGAGGGATCAAGTTGGTGCCCCCTTAAGCCAGCACTCAATTTTGGCCTCACCAGAGGGGCAGACAGAGCTGCTCTGTGACTCAAGACGAGAACATGGCACCTGTGGTGATTTCCAGCCAAACACTTGCTGTGATCTAATCAACCCTTTAGACCTGGACTCCAATTTCAGGAATTCTAAGGACGAGAGGAGCAAACTCAAAGAAACCAGGAGGAAGAAATGAGACAAATCCAGAATGTGAGCCATTCTCCTGAGCAACTGGCCTGGTCTCTTTAACAGGTGTCAGGACGGACAACAGGCTGCTCTGGAATAGGAGACTTGAGACACAACCCCCGGACACTCTGCATAGCCCAGGACTAAACTGTGCTTCAAACCACCTTCAAGGACGTTGTGGGGGCAGCTCTGAGAATGTGACTGTGTTGGGGGGTTAGGCAGTGTCCAGACTGGTCAGCGCTTCGCTGGGGATAAGGACGATCAGGCTACACAGGACAGTGTTCTTACTCATAAGAGACGCACACTGAGGTATGTAGAGGTAAAATGTAAAAATGTCTATATTTTACTTTTAAGTACTTCAATATAAACATAGAGTTTTTAAAAAGGGGGGAGTCATTTGCAAAAAGAATTACAAAAAAAAATGAGTACTAATGGTTCAAGTTTCAAAAGTCAAAAATGCTCCAGTGTCAAGTGTTATGCTTCACTGGACCAAATGGTACATGGAGAAGCTTTCATCTCAAGAGGCCCCCCCACCACCCCCACAAAGTGCTTAATGAAAAAAATTCAAATTTTAAGTAAAATATCAACTTTTAAAAGGTCCCCTAACATAGAATTGTAGAGAAGCTTTTAGGCTTGTTATACCAATGTTCAGATTTGGTAAAGAAAGGGGCTGGAAGATCTGAAGTTACAACATGCTGCTCTAGAATGATAAGCACGGAGGCAATGCAGTGTTGATGCTCACACTTGATTGCACGTGCTTCATTTCTGTACCCAAATAGGCATTATTTCCTTTGTACATTAATAAATATCCTTCGTTCTAAGCAGATGCCCAGCAAGTAAGGAAACCAAGGTCAAAAGTTTAGACAGTATCTGGGGGAGGAACTGGATTTTGGGTAAGGCCTGACAACTAGTTCCACATGTGACTTTGTTAGGTCGCTGTGGCTGACAGCGCTGGTCATTCATTTCCTGGGAGCAACGTGGAGGCTGCTGATGAAAAGCAGCACAGAGGCTGTGATTCTTCGGGATATGAATCAATGGAATTCAGGAACAAACAGGTGAGACCTACGGAGCCCACAGAAATTCTCTTCAGGGAGCCTGCAGCCGAGGACAAAGATCAAAGCGTAGCTTTTTCAATTTAAGGAAATGTGCAACTTAAACACACAGCACCTGCCTTCGGGTATGGAAAGAATAGATTCAAAAATTTAAGCAAAATAAAACAAGAATCAGGAAAACGCACCTCAGGCCCAGCTGCCTGCAGACCACTTCTGCATCGGCGGCGTCCCACTGGTCGTCACAGACGGTCCCCCACTGGCCAGCATGGTAGACCTCCACGCGGCCCTCATGTGTGGTGCTCCCACCGACAAGGCGTAGGACAGGGGACGCTGGGCCTGTGCCACAGGAAAGCCGAACAAATTAAACCTATGTATTTACACTGAGCCATAAGATCGGGTATATCCTAGTCCTTTGCCATTCTCAGTGATTAAATAATATTTATGAAGCTGCTTCAGTGATATGGACATATACACACATCTCTAATAAATTTTATGATAATCACAACCGATTAAAATACTCCAGGAAGAATTATAGTCACCCAAACCTCTTAAGAGGAAATAGTCTAAATTCACCTTTCCCCAACAACCTTGGAAACCAGGAAAGACACACTCAAAAATGCAGTTTCTGGAAACACATTTGATTTTCATGGTATTGTGGTGGTGACACTGACTTTTTTTTATTTCCAGTAACTTAAACATTACCGGTCTGTAATTATTAAGAATGGCACTTACGTCTGTAACATACTTATTTTCAGTACAGAAATATGTTTAGATCTGTGGAACCAAGTCCAAGTTAACATCTTACACATTATAACAGGTCGGTGGACATCACGGCCAATAGCTTCAAAAAGCAACACTGACAATTCATTTGGGTCTGAACCACATCCTGTGTTAAGAAGCACCAAAGGCTTCCCCCTGCAGATCCCTGCTGGTCCACGGTGCCCTGACCTGGCCCTTGTCGGCTTCTGAATTTCTCTCTGCTCCTGGCCTCGCTTACTAGGCTGTAGCCCTCTTCCTTCTGTTCCCGGACACTTGGAAGTTGGAGCCACGTCAGGGTGTGTGTGTTGGCTGCCCCTGCTGCTTCGGATGTCCCCACGGCTCTTCACCAGGCTGCCTCCTTCGCATCATTCAACTCCGAAACGGCCTTTCTTCAGGCGGCCGGCCCTGGCAGCCCCAGCTAATGCAGCTCCCTGAGTAAGGGACTTCCTACCGCACTGCCTCCTGTGTCTTTCTCAGAGGACTTACTTTTACCTAAAATTGTCATTGATTTAATGGTTTACATGCCAACTGTCTGCCTCCTTTCCACTGGAATTGAGGACAGAGAGACTGCCTTTCCCTGTCACTGTGTATCTCAGGCACCAAGCATAGAGAAGGCACAGAATAAATACCGCTGACTGACTGCATCGGTGAGTGAGAAAAGCCTATTCCCATCAAGGAGAGATGGTTGGCACTACCCACTCATTCCATTCATACGAGGCAGCTGCCGGGTGCACGGTGAGGCCCAGGTGCTACAGAGCATTCGAAGCCCTCAGGGCGCTTCTGCCCAAGAACAGGGACAAACCGAGTACAGACAAGAGGTCATCAAGAAGGCCCTGCAGGGGCTCAGAGCCAGGGGGCTCGCCCACCGCTAAGGGTGGGGCGGGGGGTTCCACGGTGTCTCTCCTGAAGAGGCTGGAAGTGGAGAAGGGCCAAGGTAGAAGATTCCAGAAGTCAGAGATGGGGAGGACGGTTCAGGCAAAATGAGAAACATAGAAGCACAGCGTTGGGTGTGCTTGGGAAACAGTGAGGCAGCCTGATTTTTTTGGAATAAAGGATGTGATAAGGTGAAAGGCTCAGAACAGGCCAGGTCCCTATGAGGGAATGTAGTCGCACCTTTTGCCAAGGCTAATTAATCATTTACCCACAAGAACTATGCCTCTAATTCCTCCAGCGTAAGTGGCTGTCAGTGAGTGGCATCTAGATATGCATAATTATATGCAAATATCAAATATCATATGTGAACTTTGGAGCAGAAATTCAGATCAGTGCATACCTGCATATACTCATACTCCAATATCTGTAATACATAAGTCAGCAGGCACTTACCATTTGTGAAAAGGTAAAGATAGGTTTAATATGCATAACTGTCCTCAGTATTGTATATTAGCTTCTTATAACTAACTGATGGCTGAGCTATGGTAGGAAACAAAGTTGCATGTAATTATGTTTATTTTTCATTTAAAAAGCTTGGAAAATTTAGAAAAAATTATGGAAAAATGTGTAAGTTTCTTGAGTTATTATATATACTTAAAACTGTCATTGATTTAATGGTTTACATGTCAATTGTCTGCCTCCTCTCACCCTACCACCATGGCAAGCTTAGAGAAAATAGAAAAAGAAAAATTTTCAAGAGGAAATTAAAAATTACCTACAACCCAGAACCATCACAACATATTACCTTATCATTTTTGAATGTTGTGTTTTATTTCAAAACATGTTTTTCTGGTTGTATAAGTAATTGTGAAACTACAAAAAGGCTGAAGGACCAAACTGAGTCAACATCGCACATCCTCCCAACAAACACACAAGAAATCATGAAAAAGAATTTAGTGACGTATGTGACTCATGTTTAACTTGCGGGCAAATACAACTCCCAGATGTTTGCATTTAGGTTGTTATTTCCTATTCCGGGTTGTGTATTTGTACACAACCTGCTCTGCAGGTGTGGGAAACGCAGCAGGACGAGGTGACAAGACACTACAGGTGGCTCGCCAGCTGAGAGGATGAACGGGAGGCCCAGCACAGCGCCTCAGCGTGGACTCAGGGTTGGGCTGTCTGAGCTATTTGCTTTCACTTCTCATTTAATTTGCCATCAGAGCAACTGTTTTTCATTCTCACTTCAAATTTATTTCAACCTTCTATATTTCATATATGCTTATAAATGACCTTAAATGTATCTTTGCAACCAGAATATAAACAAGTGGATAGATTATAGAGTAGAAGGGGCTAAAAAAGGGGAGCTAGACATTCCAAAAGAAAAATAATTACTGTTTTAAAGATTTTACTTACTTCACTACTTGAAAAATACTGAGCATTTTATCAGTCAGGTCGAGCACAGAACACAAGCAGTGATCTACAAAAGCACTATGGAGCCCGACTCACATCACCTTGAAGCAGCAACGCATAAATGTGTACTCCCAAAAGCAGCTGCACTCAAAGGTGGGGAAGCAAAGAAGAAAAGTGGAAACTACAAGACATCAGGCTGTCACACACACAACTCGCCCAGCCAGGATGGGCTGCGGCTCTCAGGGCGGCCCCCTATCCACACCCTGTGCCACAGCCAGCGGTGCTTCCAGCCCACTCACGGGCGTGACTCTGAATTGGGTCTCTGTACATTCTCTAGTGGGAGCTTTGTTCTTCCTCCCAACACCTGAGCTCACACAGAAACCACTGCCCGGGGCATTTCAAGACCTGGGAACTCTGGTCATGCTGCTATCTGAGGGGAAATGCCAAAAGGGACACTGTGACCATGTGGTAGCTTTGGGCTGTTGTCACACATTACACTGTACTGTGGTCCCAGAATACCCATCAGCCACTGAAAGGCAGCTGTTCCCTCCTATACTTATGTTCATATGAATGCATGTGTATCTGTGTATGCTGGTCACCTCGTGCCCAGGATACGGACAACGCTTGGAAGGAGACATCATCCAAGGGAGTGACTCATTTCATGGGATGTGCTATCTATGACCCAAAGGAGGACACTGCTACCACAATCACATTTCATCCTATAAAGTGAACGGATTGTGTTATAGCTGCTGTATTTTATATTTGTTTCCAAGATGACTTTCTATCTTGATTCCATCATGATTTTCCATGATGGATTTTCCATTTGAAACACCAAAAAAAGTGTTTCATATACAGTATAAAATAGTTCTGTAAGCAAATTAGATAAAATAGAAAACATGCTAAAAGTGAGGTCAAATGGTATTCAAATCGTTAGACACACTCCTGCTGAAAACTATTTAACTAGATGGTAGAATGTGATGATTCAGACTTCATCTGTATCTAAACATTTTCAGGAAGTGACTTAACTAAGACACTTGTATCATTTGGAATCATGTTAAAAACACAAAGAAAGTAAAACAAGAATAAATATTGTTTTACCATGGGAAAAGCTGCACGTGACAGCAGCTGCCATCTTCTGAGGACATGCCCCACCCTGCCAGATGTCTTTGTCACAAAGCAGTATATTTTCTTCATCTCCTCGGCAACGGACATTGCTCCAGTAAATGGGAATAAGGCCCAGACCGGAAAACGGGGCTTGCTTTGCTATTCCTTTTCTTCTGGAAGTACAATGATCAATGTTAGGTTTATCAAATGTAGGTGAATTGTTATCAAAGCATTTGGATTTTTAAAAATGGAAGAAAGCCATAAAGCTGGATGTGGAAGAAAAAAAAGAAAAACGTAACGGGTTACATAAGTTTCAAGGAAATCAAAACGTCAGATCAGAACCCGGATTCATTACCTATGGCAATCGGAATTCTTAATCTTCAATAACCAGTGGTTCGCATGTGCTGTTCCTATCTATGGATGATTTTAGAAGAAAATGGGCAACTGCGACAGATACAAAAAGAGGACGGGGTGGCTTTGTGGACGGTTCTGTCGTGTGGCCCAGTGAGGCCTGGATTCTGGTCTGGACTCAGCTGCAGGTCACTCTGGGCTGAGTGTCTCCAAGCTCTGCCTTCTGATGCAGAAAAGGAGAAGTCTGCAGGCCAGGGGAGTCTTCTCTGCGCCAATACTGCAGGCTAGCATTTTCCAAATGACTGTTACTCTACGTCTAAGCAAGCTAATGTCAAGAGAGGCAACCTGTTCACATTTTTAAACTCTTGTATGTAGTACATGCCAGCAAGACTTTGAAACCAATTAATAAAATAACAACATGCAGATAAGCTCTGCTTTGAACTCATCTCATACATACTTGTATAAGTAACCTCTGATACATACAAATTGATATTAAATTTTAAAAAGGTTAAACACTTACCTGATTAACATGGTAATCTCTAGGTCTATCTCCATGCACCAGCTTCCATCAAACGGTAAATATTTGGGGTGTGTCTAAAATGAATGTGTCTTAACAGCAATAAAGCTGGGGTGCTCTGTTCCTATTGTCTGATTCTTTTGTTAAAAAGTGCATTACTAGGAGATGTGATAGTAATGGGGTCAGCTTCTGGGATGTGTGCATTCGCAGGATGATAGTCTGCATTCTTTCATCAACCTAACGGCTAGTAACCACACTGGAGTGCACGTCCGCCTACACTGCTCTTGTCTTCTCTCTGCCAGAGTCTCACGGGGCCTGTATTCTTCCCTGATTCTCAGGGGCAATAAAAGCACATGGACATATTAATATGTATGTGAAGGAAGACGCTGACACCAGCCTACAAACTGGTTACGTCTTCAAGCCCTCGGAAGAAAAAGCACCACGTCACCATTCTTTGGGACAAAAATACTCACTGATAAAATCAGTAATTAACATTCCTAATGCCATACACTTCACAGACTCCAGCCTCCTCCTTCTTTTATCCTGATTTATACCAACACTCATTTTTTAAATGAATTAAGTACATTAACCCTATTTGCTGCTCTCACAGCATCCAAAGTCTGAACAAAATTTAAGCACTCAAGGTTTGCCTTTCCTAAACGCTCACTCCTCACCATCCCGGTGGGAAGGCAGGAGGAAGCTGGCAAAGTTCTTACCGGCTTGACTGGAGGCGACTAACCTTTTCATTAGCATCACGTAATAGATACTATCGCTCACTGATTATTAATGCAAAATATCTGTAAATTGCAAACCTTCTTTCAGTCTTTTAGACCTGTATTTTTCATAACAAGATATTTTCCGGCTTTCTAAAGATCTCTGGTGACAAAGGTCAAGAAAAAGACACAGCATGTGTACTTAGAAAAAAGAACAAAAATAACAACAAAAACAAAACCTCCTGTTCCAAAATGGAGCCTCTGTTCCTGGTGAGGCCACTTGGCACCAGGCCGAGGTGGAAGGCCGCGGACCCTGGTCCGTGTTAAGGAGAGTGGCCAGGCCAGGGGAGGAGCTGGCAGCAACGCGGGGTGGCCCTATACCACCTGGGTAATGCCTGGATGTCACCCCCGACCCATCACAGACAAGAGCCCAGGTGAACACCACCTAGAACTAGATCTGTGGGTAGCTAACAGGAGAAAGCTAAAAGCAAGTGACAGCAACCTAGGGCCACGTGGTTACTGAGAAACGACAATTCTTAGAATCAAATTCCTGCTTCCAAGGAGTAAACATTTACTTGGTTAAAGACAACGACCAAAAGACGCTTTCACCTTTGGCCACTTAGCACTGGGCTGTTTCCTAGTCAGCAGGGACAGTACTGTGCGAATACATTCCGAGCACACAAGTAAGAGACCTCACTCCCACCACCCAGGGCCCTTTCTTTCTAACTCTGCGGACGGAAAGAAGAGTGAGGAAAGAGGCGGGAACCTTTCCGCGGCAACGATGGTGCCGGGGGCCCATCATCCTTCTCAGGTATCCGCACAGCAATCTGGCCCAGGATGGATGGACTTACCCCAGCTGCAGTTGGTGACAAACAACGGAGGCATCAGGGTCATCCCAGTGGCTGCCGCAGACTGTGCCCCAAGCGCCGTGGGCATACACTTCCACTGTGCCTTCAAACGCACTTTTGCCACCGCGAAGTCGTACTGACCCTAAAGCGGAAAACAACCCCAAATCCTTTAATAGCAAATAATCATCCGAGCACATGAACCAGACCTCGGTTAATGTGGTCTCTCATGGAGGCGGTGAGAGACCCAGTCAGAGTGATGGGCCCCCGCTGTTCACAGCGCGTGCTGCCAAGTGAGGCTTTAGCAGGCTTTTTGGTTTTTTGGTAATTAAGATCCTGATGTCAATGCTAGTTATGCCTTATTTTTTACGTAGGCAAACGGAGAGCCCAGTTATAATTTTAAAAGGGGGAAGTGGAAGCATATTGACTAAGTCTGATCTTGCATCCCAAGCATTAGATTATGTCACATAGGAAGTTGTTACCATTTATGTACCATCTTCCATCTTCACGTGAAGTCATGTGAGAAACACAGAAACAAACTTCTACCCCCTGCTTAAAACTTAGCTGTTATTGGCTGCGTTATGTCTTCCATCTATCTGATTTGTTCTTCCGCTAAAAAAGAGTAAATGCTTTCCCTCCTTTCACCTTGAGCAGTAGTCATGACAATTCTAAAGATTATGTCTGTGATTCCAAAAAGGTGTTAGTGTTGAAAGTGTCGCCTGTTAGTCTTAAGGAAACCACCACTCGGTAGAGTGGTTTGGCGTAATCGGATGGCCCTGGAAATGCACTTCCCCTCACCTACCATCCCCACTTAGCTGTTCCATTATCCACGATTTTGGTCATTCCTCTCAATCTTCAAAAGAGCGAAAATTTAAATTCAAGCACCCCTGGAAAAAATAACACTTTCAGTCTCATCCCATGAGTGTGAGTCGAGGCCCTGGTTTGCAGAGTAGTTACTATGGGCAGCGACTGGGACACGTAAACAGAAACAAAATTCAACTCAGACAACTTCAGATTTCACAAAATTCTGTGAAAAGTCACTTAGGATGGCCTTTCTTTCGTAGGTTAAGCAATTAGAAATTAAGTGTTACCAAAAATTCTAGCATATTTTGCATATTTTGAGGTTATTATATGTGGCTTTAAATTTTTGCAAAAATATCAGGTTCACAAATTATCCATTCATGTCATTTTCACTAGCCTGGTCATCTTCCATTATTTTCCACATCATCATCCTTGGAAAAAAGTGTAACTATTTAAGAAAAATATATCCTATTTCTCATGACAAACACAGTGCTACTTAATTGAAACAAAAGGCAAAAATCAATGGAGACAAAGCATAGCACTGCGGAGTCCTGATGATCCAGGGCAGGACACAGCTCGTCTTTCCTACGGCAGCTCATCTAAACATCAGTCATGTATCTAAACCGCTTCAAGTCACACTAAGCAAGAGGAAGCCCGTCTCGCTCAGTGCAAAGTGTGAACCGCTGAATATTTTGGAAGAAAAATGTCTGAAGCTTTAATGATTTTTAATCACAAAATCTCTTCTATAGAGACCCACATGATAGTATGCATATTACAAATGCCAGGAGTCTGTTTCATTTCGAAGGCTTCATTTGTTCACCTCAAACACTATTTAAAATTATATTCAATCTATTTTCTCTTTGTTAACCTCCACCCTCCATCAAATGACCCATGTCAAAAGGTTAAAAGAAACTTCTAGGAGTGGCAACAAACTGGACGTTGACTTAAGCAGGTTAATTTAACCATAATAAAATGTAAAATAGTGCCCAAATCATTAAAAGGCTATCCAGATGCATACATATCATGTAAACAATCAAGGCCTTTCGAGATGAGACGGTGGAGGCTGCGTGACCTATAACTGTTCCCATAACATCGGTCTGAGGGTAGGGCCAGGGCCAGAGCAGGAGATGCTCCCAGTCACCTACCATCCGCCATCATTTCTCAGATGTTCCGGGCCTGCTGTGAAAGCCTGGATTCACTTAGCTGTATCTGACAAGAAACGAGGAGCTCTCATCCAACTTTCCTTTAGCAAGTGAACACAAATATTTGCAGCTGTGGAGAGGTGATTTGCATGTCACTGACTAATAATTCCCTGTCAGAACCCAGCCGGACACCAACGCCCAATGCACACACCTTTGTAACAGGGCCCTTCCACACTGTCTGTCCTTCCCTTAAGGTCATAACAGTTTCTCAAATATTCTGAAAAATCTACCTCAGATTCAGAGTATTTCTTAATGGAATATAGTTCTACGAAGTTCATAATTCTTCTAAAATTTTTTTGAAAAAGCTGTATTTTAAAGTATCACTATAATAATATTCTCCAAATAAATAAAAGTGTGAACACACCATTCACACTGTATACATTTAAGACAGGCGGTAGTTTTGGGTTGTTTGTGGTTTTCCTTGGTTGTTGCTTCATTTATTCTCTTAGAATAGTTGACGTGGTCGAGGTCTTAGAAACTATCTTTCGTTTCCCTCAATTTCCGGATGAGGAAGCTGAGGACCAAATCAACTGAGCAGGTGCAGAGCCATGGCCACAGTGTCCTAGATGCCCCCTGCTACCATCGCCCATCTCCAAACCTGGGTCAAGACCCTGTGATGGAATAAGCACCCGTTACTACTCCAGGTGTGACTTTATACATTACTCCATGTTGGTTTCCACCATTCCATTTGAAATAGTACAGCTAATCCACCAAACACTATGGGAAAAAACTAGCCAGAGAAGCTTAGGGCAGCCTGGAAACTATGTCCATGGGGACACAGTGGGAAGTGGCTTTCTGGCATTCGCATTGAAGGCTGATGTGGCCCATGGGCTGTACAAACGTGTAGGACTATACCTTTGCTCAAGTGTATAGGTGCACAATTACGAGGATGAGAAGGAGAAATATCCTAAGCGCAGTTTTTTTGAAAGGATGAAACAATACAGCGATCCATGAAGGTCAGAGCCTGGTAAAATCCCTTACAGGGCCATCCTATTAACAATCAGCTCTTCGGGTAAATTCTAGACCAGGTTCTTTGTCTGGCAAATGCTGCTCAATTGTCACAGTCTTTTATCATCAAAACGTGACCCCTCCTCCTCCGTCCACACTCTCTCCAGCCCGGCACTTGTGGTGACGCTCCCCTGGTCTGAGACAATGTCTCTGGACCACACCCTAGCGAACCCAGGACTGCCCTGTCCTTAAGTCTCTCACGTGTCATTTTGATGGAAACTATTCTATTCTAAACAGTCCTATTTTTAAAATGTGTTAATAATAACAGTTTAAAATCTGAAGGCTCAGACAGAGGTTTTAGGTCAGCTATAATAGGATAACAAGTGTATACACCAGACCAGCAAGAGCAGAACGTCTGGCCTGTAAAGCTATGCGTGATGGCATGTCAGAGAGAGCAGCTCTGAGTTCATGAAATGAATTGGTGCGAAAGCAGAAGCGGTCAAATGTACCAGTCTGCGGGGATCGTACCCACCGAAAGGCAAAATGTGCCAAGGTCCGGCGATGCTCAGAATTCTATTATTTTGATTCTCTGCCAAAAATGTAGAACTTACTGTCATTTGACTTTACTGCTATTTTTCTTCTATGTAGATATATCTCCAGTTTCATAAAGGAGGGGATATAAAAGATTCATATTATAGAAATTTGCGTATGGGTGACTTTGCTGAAAAGCAGGAATTCCCCAAACAAAAAGACACTTCAGAGGGCTTCCCTTACACCATTTTACCTGACTCGATCAACGCAAGGTCATCTGGAGGGGAGCAGCAGAGTAGATTAAGATTTGGTTTTTCATCTTTTCAGGCTATTGTGGTGGGTTGAATACTGTGCCCCGCAAAAGACGTTGAAGTCATAATCCCCGGGCCCTATGAACGTGACCTTGTGTGGAAACAGGGTCTTTGCAGATGATGAGGTTGAGAGGGTCATTAGGGCAGGCTCTAATCCAGTGTGATGGAGCTCTTATTAAAAGGAGCAATGTGGACACCGACGCGCACAGATGGGGGCGCCACCCGAAACTGGCCTCACGCTCCCACAGCCAGGGAACCACCAGAAGCTGGGAGAGCGCCCTGGACCAGCTCTGCCCCGCGTGCCTGCAGCGGACGCCTGGCTCTGCCCACACCTTCCTCTTGGACTTTGAGTGACCAGGCTGTGAAACTGTAAGTCTCTGTTGTTTAAGCCAGTTTGTGGTCACAGCGGCCCAAGCAGCTGTATGGTACCACCTCTCCTGGGCAACCTACTTCTCGTGCTCAGGGCTGCAAGGGCACCTACAAGGAATAGTAGGAAAGGAACTAGAGGTCAGAGGTCTTTGCTCTCTAAACCGATCTCACTGCAAAACACTCCAAATGAAAAGATATGCCTATTTAGTTACCTACATACTTCAAATGTACTTACAGAACAGCATTCACTCACTTGAAGGGAAAGAAAAAAACAACAAAAACAAAAGGCCCATCTCAGTAGAGTTTTCTGAATAGAATTAACAAGTATTTTTAATCTTTTAAAAATCACAGTTTGATAAATGAGTAAAATTAGTGCTATCACAGAAATCCATTCTCATCTATTATTGCACTTCACAGAGGCACAAAAGGATTAATTTTAGTCCTTTTTATCGCTCTAGTGGAATCAGAAAGAATGCATGCTAGTGACATCAGCTATTGTTCAGACTCTTGACAAAAAAGTAATATGTAATGCTGAAAGCGATACAGGAAGCTTAATTTATGAACTATTCAAAAGAATAGGGAAAAGGCTGTTATACATTGGACAATTTAGTGTTCATATTTGACACAAGAATTAAGTGTAATCCTATGTGGTGTACCAAAAGCAACACTGGGAAAATACATTAACTGACCATTTGCTATCTTAATTATGAAATATACAAAAAACTCACATTGCCTAAGGACAACTGAATTGGGGGCTGTCAGTTGAATTTTTCAAGTATAGTACGGGAGGCTAGGTTAATTTTGATGTTATTTTCTTCCTACACCCTATCTGACAGTACTAGGGTATACTATTCTTGTCTATGATTACCCATAACTGAAACCAGTTTTAGCATTGTAAAATAGCAAATTTTCTTGAATCAAACCATGTCAAAATGAAATCAAATCACTTTTAACATATGGGACATCCCCCTGAACCAAGATCC